CCTCTCAGAAATTAAAGCAACTACAATACTTGGTAATCAGCAACTGTAGTTAATGTCATTCTCAAAAAGAGACAAATCAGAAATGAAGTTTAGACATCAATGAGGCATGATTACCAATTTCCTTCTGTCTTGGTAAAAATTGAACATAAACCCATGCAAATCACATTCAAACTTTTGTCATTTGAATAACGAAAGGTGTTCTCTTAAATAGGTTTTACCACAAGCATAACAAAATTAACAATCCACAAAAGCAGAGTAGATAAGGGGTCAGATTGCACCAAAAGAAAGTACTGCATCACTTCTCACAATGTCATCTTAAAGAAAGGTGCCAGCTAGCTTAGCTAGTAAAGTCATTTGGCTGTTACACCAAGAACTAGGGACAAATCCAGCCTTCATTATGGATGGGTAGGTTAACTGAAACAAATGGGAGGGCCAGCCTCTGATTGTACAGCCCAGACACTAGAGATAACAAAAATGTTGCCTTATTGGTTTTCTTATCTCATGGTTACAAGGAAAATAATTTAGAAATCCAAATTGATGCTTAATTAGCACCATCAGTTTATTTATCCAGACCATTCACTGATATAACAACCACAAAAGGATCAAACAAACAGGCTAGTCTATTCTTTGATTCTCTCAAAGATTAAGCTGCACATAAAATCACTTAACAAGGAAAGAATATATAAAGAATGGGCAGATTCTCTTATTTCAACTGACCTGGCACAGTTATTGGTTAATACTTGATATCCTGATCATCACAATACATATTTAACAACTGCAAACTAGGTCACAACCTATAGCGCAAAATTAAATTAAGGCTTTAGTAGATACCTGATTAACAAATGTTCGTTGGAAAGGACTTTTCTCAGCATTTAGCTGCCAAGGGAGACAAAAATATATAAACATTAGCATATTCAATTGATGATTACAAAAGCAATGTCCTCAATTTTATTTAGTAATTAGCAGATATCCCTATGGCTATAATACCAAAGGCCCTTTTTTACCAGAATAAGTAGATGAATGAAAAATAGTCTTAACACCTATTAAAACCAAAAAAAAAAAAAAAACAACTTAGCCAACCATCTACCATAATAGGTATGCTGAGAGTACAAAACCAAAACCCACTCAGGACTTTAGAGACATTCAAGATCATTAAAATTTGGACATATTTTCATTCCAAAAGAAATTCCATGATATCAGAGCACGGAGTTCCATGTGAAACTAGCTGTTTCTTTTCAAGACTAGAAAGACTGCATAAGATCTTATGCAATACTACAAAAAATCCAGAAAATGGTTATTTCCAAATTACAGTTTCAATACAGCAGGATCTTTCAGAATACGATTTGGTGCTACCCTTTAGCCTCTTTGCAGCAAGACTCAACCCTTTGTCAGTTAGCACCTAAATCCATACTCCTACACTCATCCCTTCACACATGAAACCAGAAGATTCTAATTTCAGAATCTATGTAAATATTTTTTAAGAACTGTTTCAGTGTTGACAACTGATTCATAATAGAAGCATTTCTTCCAGCCAAAGTACCATATTTTTGCATCCCATGCCAAATTCATATAAAATCAGCAAAAGCATCCTTTGTTTCACTTGGATTACAACCAATTCAGCTAATAGTGCTTATATTTAGGTGGATCATGGTCCCAACTCTTAAAAACTCTCCATCCTAAATGATAGTAAAAACAGCATCTTTAATAATTAACAGTCATTATCAATATTATAATCCAGAAGACCAGAAAAAATGAAACCATTTGAAAAAAAACTAAACATGAATGCATAATGAAATCAAAATAACTTGAATAGAAAAGTAGATAGAAAGTTATTTAAATCCCAAATCAGACTTGCAGCTAATACTGTAGCTCAAATTAAGTTAGCATAGTACACCCACTAAAAAGCTAAGAGTCATTACCTAATCACAATCCCTCAATATTTTGGCGCAAAATTGCTCCTCTAAATAATTCAACTGATCCTATAACACCTGCCAACTTAAGACTTCTATCAATACACACATCAAAAGCTAATAATATTTTCTATTTCCAAATAGAGCAAGCTCATTGAAATATTGAATGTCACTTTCCTCTATAGGGAAACTTAAAGCTGGGTCTAAAGCTATTACAGTATTAACTACAACAGCATAAAGTACAAGCTTCTCAATAAGTTCAAGCCAAGTCCTAAGTGAGCTCAAATTCCAAAATCTCTCCAACCAAACCAGAAACTGCCACGTAATCATCAGAAACAAAAATTCCTTAACCAGAAAGTAATTACTAGTATAACTTCCTAGCACTGATCAAACATGTCTCGTATCTTAACTAGTTCCAGCAATTCCAAGAAATCTCAAATCAAAACAGTTGAGTGATACACAAAATTAATTCAGCCAATATCTCGCATCCTCATCAAATTCAACCACAAACAACTCGTAATCAATGATCATATTCACATCAACTCCAACAAATTTTCCAAATGCAGGAAAACAATAGCAACTAAAAGAAATCGAATAACAAGCTCTCTTACTTCAATTGAACGTAAAATTCAACTACTTAAAAAGTCGAATTCCATTTCTAATTAATGCCAAACAAACAAAACAAAAAATTCAAAATCCTAAATTCTCCTTAACAAGAATTATTCGAGAGATGCTTAAAACTAAAGCAAAATAAGTTTAAAAAAAAAAAAAGAATCGGATCTGAGCATAGAAAGACATACATCACGGAACTGGAGGAGACCGAGTTCACCGAGATAAGAAACGGCTCGGTGAGCGGTCTCGACGGGAATAATGAGTTGAACAAGCGTCATTTTCTCCGAGCGCATCAGATCCATGGGCGGCAGGTTATCTAAAAACTTCTCCATTCTTTCCATTTCTCTCTCTCTTTCTCAAGAATCAAACGGAAATAAATGAAGTTTGGATTTGACTTTTTAGATCTGAAGATTTTTTTTTTTTGGGGAGGGGGGTTGTGTCTACGACAGAGTCAGTGCGTTTGCTTTCAGTTTCCCCATCGCAACTGTCATTGGAAAAATTGGAATCTCATAATCGGGAAATTCGCGTTCGTTTTTTTTTTTTTTAATTAGCTAAGTGGGAGGTAATTCAAGGCCGTCAGAGTCCACCAAGGAGTTTGGTGGGCCCAATATTGCCAGAATTTGGATCCTTACGCAATAAGCAATTGAATTTTATAATGGTTGATTTGAATTAAAAAATTAAAGGTTCTTCTATATTTTCTTTGAATGGTGGAAAAAAAATAAAAAAGCCAAAAATCGAAATCGAATTATTATGTTTGATTAAGTTGGTTTGATTTCTATAAAAATAATTGGTTCGATTTTTCATTTAAAATTCATTTGATTCATGTTCTTAATATATGCTGAAAACAAAAATAAAAAAATCTATAAAATAGAGCTTTAATTGTTGACATACCTAAAATAAAATAGTCGGTTGATTCGCATATAATTCTAAAAATTATATTATTAAAAAAAATGAAACGATTTGTAAACATTTCATGATAATAAATATTTTGTAATTTTCTTTTTTTGTATAATTGCAAGTTGTATTTAAATAAAAAATAAATATTAGTGTGATGCATGAAATACATTATAAAAATTTAACCCATTCATATTAAATTATGGTGGCTTACACCTCACAATTCTCAATGAAAAACTAACTACATTGATAAGTCATAACAAATCCTTTTTTTTTTTTTTTTTATTATTGGAGTTTAGGATGATAATGGATAAGGTATCCCATATAATTTTGAGATATTCATTCTTAAATTTGTTTATTTGTGAAAAAGATTTAAATTTGATAGTTATTTAAATATTTTTTATTTTTTTATCCGAACTCACTCATATAATATATAGAATATTCTTTAATTACTCAAAATTATTAAATAATTGTTTATTAAGTTAAAATTTGACTTTTAAACTAAAATTTAAATTTGATTTGAAAAAAATTATTAGAAAATTAAATTAATCAATGTAAAGTTTACTCATAAAAAATAAATTAAAGGTAAAAATTATAATTAGAACACTTAATAGATTGATTCGATTAAGTATTAAATTAATAATAAATTCTTTATAAATAAAATATATAATATTAAAAATTTTATTATTTATAATCAAATTTGAATAATAAATACCTTAAAATAGCATCACTTAGATCCTATTCAAACTCATGACAGATAATAATTTTATTATCTAAATATCATCTAAACCCGATATAAAATAATCTAATTTAATTTAATCAGATTGAATGGTATAAAATATTCATTTATAAAGTACCTATTGTTTTTCTTGATCTCAAAACTTTAATTTTAAAATGATTTTAATATCATTAAACTAACAACTTATTAATAGATTTTTTTTTGAAAATTCGAAACAACACTTAAAATATAAAACACTACTTGATTAAATTGAACATCTTTCAAAACTATTAATCCTCACAACAAATTATATTTTAATTTTCTCAAAATCATATTCTTAATAAATAACTCACTCTCCTAAAATCGATAGTCTCTTAAAAAATATAATAAATAATATCTGAGTAGAAAATTAAAAATAATTTTAAAAATTAATAATAATTTATAAAACATATAAATAATCATAATAAATAATGTCATGAGTCAAGTGAAATTAACTTAATTAAAGAAAATACATAAAAACTAAAATTTAAAATAAACAATATATATTAATAACATCATATTAACAATTTAGTTTTTTTAAAATAGAATTATTGCTATTTTTAAACAACTTTACCATATTTTTATCCATTCTAAAAAATAATTTATATTTATTTTTATATTTAAAAATAACTAATTTTTTCTTCTTTTAATAAAATTTAATCTATTATTGAATCTAAAATACATAAATTTCTTCGCACTCACAACTTTCAAACGTTAATTTCAATTTCATATTAACTGATTAAAAAATCCGAGGGCACTAATTTTTATTTAATAATAACTTTATAAACACTTAATTGTTTATTTCATCCTATAATGGTTATGCGTCTTATGTGAATAGTATATAAAAGTAAAAATACGTATATACTATTCATTTTACATCTGTATCCCTGCACACTCTCAATCCCTTTTTTTTTTTTTTTCAGTCTCTTCCGTTCCCCACTCTGGCCCTTTCCCCTTTCAATCGCTTCCAAGTTCCACCACAATTTCAAAGACAGTTCGAACCCAATCGTCAAATCTGTTTTGTAATCAGATACAAAGGGAAGAAAGAAGAATGGCGTGGAGAAGCCAGTTATCTCGAAACCTCAAAGAACTGCGAATTCTGTTTTGCCAAACTTCCCCTTCCAGTGCCTCTGCGAGGTTTATTTCCCTATCTTTCTCAATCTAAATTTAACATCTTTTCTATATATTTCTTTAAATTTCATGTAATTAATTTTTTTTTTTTTTGTAATAGATCATTCGTGGAGAAAAATTACAAGGATCTCAAGACTTTAAACCCCAAATTACCAATCCTCATCCGTGAGTGCAGTGGGATTGAACCCCAGTTGTGGGCTAGATATGGTAATTTCTTCCTGCTCTACGTTTTTCTTCATTCCCCTTTTTTATGTTTAATATTTTTGTTCCCCTGTAGCTTGCTTTTCTGATTTTGGTTTAGGGATTTAAGTGCACTGTTGGAAAATGACTTGTAGTTTAACTTATAAGCATTAGATCAAATTAATCAGAAATACCCTCGGCTTAGCTGCATTTCCGGTTTGTCATTTTGTTCTACCGACTATCTGCAATCGAATGTTGGTCAAGGTATTCCAAGCATTACTAACATAAGATCGCTAATGTATACTTTCCTTGAACCAAAGGTAGTTTCAATTATAACTTTTGTAATACATTGTAATTGAAAATGAGCTTCAGGGGAATCTTGGATATATGTAGGAACTATGAAACCAGAGATAACTTTTAACAACGCAATCACTAATTTAATAGCCCTTTGAATACAAAAATATTGTGCTCTCGTCTGTTGTTGTTGAAACACAACAAACTGTTTGGTGGGGACAGATTTCTGTTTATGATAAATTTTGGTTTTTATCATCATTCAAAGTGATATGTTCTGAAGTTTAATATTCAGTGGGTGATGTATGACAAATTTGAGATAATCTGCCGTATTTATTTAGTTGGCTTTAGAAAATTAAGGATTTTTAGGCATTGTGCTATGTTAGAAAGTGGGATTTTGGGTTTAGTTTTTGGTATAGACTATAGATATGATCACAAAATAGTGGCTGAAAACTAGGCCTGAGGTTGTAGGAATTTCCTGGCAGCTGCTAGATGTGAGTTTTGGGTGATTTGGCTGAATGATTCTAGTGGAAATGGGTTAGGAAACATGTAAAATTAAGGTCTGTGAAAGCGTGTATACAAGGGATAAGGTTTTGGAGTTGATAAGAGAAAAAAGGGCAGTGGTCTTCAGTTGTCTGCATGTGCATATTTGGTTCTGTGAACTGTACATGGGCATAGGTGGAGAAATTTAGGAAAGCAAGAGAGAAGGAAGAAAGGAGTTAGTCACTTAACATCTATTGTCAATAACTCAAATCTCCACTTAAATAAACTTTAATCAGTTTGAAATACGGAGGGATATAGATAGAAGTGTGGATTAGCGGAACTTAATTGGACTAGAAATTTAGAATTTCTAAAATCATTAGATTTACAATTTAGCCAATTAAACACACCAAAAAACAGATAAAACCCTAACAACTTGACTAGAATAAAAAATAAGACCCAATGTTCCACAATTAAGGCCCCTTCCATCAGAAAGGACAATTTGCTAAACTTGAATAAGAAAACCCAATTAAATAGATAATTTAGTGACCTAAACGGATGGGCGGAACAGACTTCATTGTTTTTTAAGAGCCCTTCTTATCTGAACAAGCTATTGTAATCTATCAATGAGGGTCATCTCTATTAAAAGGAGAAAACATTGATATTGAGTCCTTAAAATATATATGGTTGTCAAATCTAGAATATTTATGTAGTTATTGCTTTATATGTTTGGTTAAACTGCTTGATTCAAAAGATACTTAAAGATCCCTTCAATGTGAATTTGTGGTAGACTGATGAATTCATTTCTCTTTCTTCTCTTTGTTGAGATTACCTTCCGATGTTGCATGACATTGCGAGCTTGCCTGGTAAGGTCATTTGGTTGTGGACAGGATACTCAGAATAAATTACTTAATTGCTATATTCTATTATTCTCACCATTAACATTTGTGTTGTTCCAACATGAGGGTGTTTTGACTTCATTGTGTAGGCACCAGGCAAAGGAAAGTGTTTGTAGAACATATTCATGTTAGGCAATGCTATGTTGTTGCTTGCTTTTCTGTATCTGTTTAGTTTATGATGCTTATATTGTTTGGCCTTCTATTTCGGACCATCATTGTATTTGTGCTGTGAGATCATCTGAAATATTGTTCTCTGTACTGATAATAACTAAACTAATACTAGTCTGCAGAAACCTTTGAGTTCATGGTTATCCATTTTCTTATAGCCTTGTCAGTGCACATATTCATTGAGGGTTATGAAAATGCATCAAGGTCTAAACAATAGTGGATAGATTTTATTTTATTAGCATTTGGTTGTGTTATTGAGGTTGCATTGTTTACTACATGAATGATTGTAGAAGCTTGTGTGAAATCTTGCTTTATATTTATTTATTCTAAATTACTTTTGTGTATTTGCAAGACCTTAGCTAGCTGGCTTGGGGAGTGTCATGGGTGCTATCGAGCTCATTTTTTCCCCATGCCTTTTATTTCTGAGCTGTCTGGACATAAATAAATTTGTGGTATCAGATCCACCTGATCCAATTTGATTTCAATGCAGATATGGGTGTCGAAAGGGGCATTCGGTTGGAAGGTTTGACTGAGCCACAGATTTTGAAGGCTCTAGAAGACCTTGTGAAAGCAGGGGCATCCCACAAAGCCTAATATATTGCTGCCATTGAATCAAATGGTTTGAATAAATTGATGTCTTACCGGGAACTGTTTCCTTATGGTTTTCCTCTATTTTCAGCTATCATACTGATGTTGTAGGATGGTTGTTGAAAGTTCAGTACTTGCGTTGTTCCCTTGCCATTTAAGACTCAAAACACTGCAGAATCTTCCCTTGATTACTTCTGTACTGTTATTTTCCTTTCCCCTTTCAGCAATGATAATAATTCTATTATTATTGAAACGTAAAAGGACAGGTTATGCAAATATTTCAATTGTTCCATTTTTTTTGGTAATTTTAGTTGTAAATCTCTTATAAAGAGTAACAATTTGAACAAAATAACGATTAATTATTGGAATTATTTTTAAAAAGTGATATTTACTAAGTTTAGAGTTTAACTCTTAATATTTGTTTTTTTATTCCTTAATGCAGCTTTTGTTATGTAAAAAATAATTACATAAGTAAAATAACAAAACGAAAGAATTGAAGTTAATGGGCAAAAACAACGGAAGCCTAATCCATTCCTAGGTTTTCAGCCTTGGGCCTTGGGTCTATCTCTAAAGGTTTTTTTTTTTGTTCTTTTCTGGAAACGGGAAAAGGGAAATAAAATCCTCAGAATCATCTGAACTTGGAGCATCAGAGTTCTGTTCTATCGGTGATAATCCAAGGACAAACACTTTCGCTTTATCCTCAGTCATCGTTTTCTGTAACTGGGTAATGTTCATTTACCGTCCCAATTTTGTTTTGCTTCCTTTCTTTCTTAAGATTTTCTTTGCTTTTCAACATCGAACGGTAATGCTATACGCCTTTATCTACTTTCAGTTTTACAATGGATCAGAAGGTTTAATTCCACGTGAATAATTAGTTAGTATTGCAGACATATATTAGCTATGATTTGTTATCATTGGATTTTTAAGGGTTTTTTTGTCGTCCTCTTAACTGTGAATAACAAATTATGTGTAAAGGGATTCTTAACCTTTGACTATCAATAAACTAAAATACAGCCATTGGGGGATTTTCTTTTTCGCTTTCTTAGTGAGAACTAAAGGATTATATGATTTGGTTGTTTCCTCTTTTGTCTCTTTAGTAATCCCCAAAGTTTAGAAATAGTAATTGGTTGGGTTTTTTGGGTGGTATTTGATTTGACTTTTTTACATAGGAGTTGAATTTCACAAAGGTTTGCTACAGTCAAGAGTCTATTCAGAAATGGTATAGTGGATATTAAAGGGAAGGGCTTCTCATTATCACAGCTGCCTTTGGCCTCAATAAGTTAGTGCAGTACATATGAGCTGACCTTAACTGGGGCTGCCTTTGAATATCTGGATTACTTTACTTGGTTGTAAAATTATAATGCAAATTCATGATCTTTAGCAGGTAGCAATGGTCATGCCATGCTTATATTGCTCTAGAAAAACAAGTAATGCAGTACTGAACTACAGTTCTTACTAGGGTTGGTTTTGTTCATCAGATGTTCTTTTGTATGCATGTTAGTCATAAATTCTTGCTTCTGTCGTAAGTGTCCCATTGTCTATGAGGAAAAGGGTTCTTTCTGCTGACAATAAAATTTAGAGACAAATTGATAAACATAAGGGATTGAAGTTCTCCCCTTTTCCATTTTCCTTCTTTTTTTTTGTGGCTTATGAGGGGCTGGCTTTGAGAACTCTATAAAGCTATTTTAATCTAAGAAAAGTAAAAGGAAAATGTTAAGATTTGTTGCAAGTTGCTGGATGATTATGATCATGTGTCTTTTCCCGTTTTGAAGAATACTTGGTTAAATATCACTAAACAGAACTTTTAGAGCAGAATCAATTTTCTAGCACTTGAATAGCTAATAAATCTCTTTCTTATTTTCTTTGCTGCTGATGTTCCCTACTTTCCAGATTGAAAAGTTAAGATATAATTTTAGTTTCATTATTATATTAATAGCATCTTAAACATTGTGTTCGTTTCTGTACGGAGTTTTTTTTTTTTTTCAGGAATACCTATTGATATCCAGAGCATGGGAAAATCTGCAGCCGATGAAAAGATTCTGAGTTACAATGATGTTGTACTTAGGCGATCAGACTTGGAAATCCTCAGTGGTCCATATTATCTGAATGATAGAATCATAGAGTTCTATTTCAGTCTCCTATCTTCAAGTTATCCTTCACAGGACATCCTATTGATTCCACCATCAATTGCTTTCTGGATAACTAACTGCCCTGATGTTGGTGGTCTCAAAGATTTTTTGGAACCCCTTAAATTGCCAGACAAGAAACTGGTGATTTTTCCTGTTAATAATAACGATGATGTAAGCATAGCTGAAGGTGGAAGTCACTGGAGCTTACTTGCATACCACAGAAGTGCTAACATCTTTGTGCATCATGATAGCAATGGCCAGACGAATAAGAGGCATGCTATGAGGCTGTTTAAATCTGTTGTTGGTTATATCGGTTGTTCCAGTTCAGCCGGTAATGCCAAGTATCTAGAATGCATTGGCACACCACAGCAAGTGAATGGCTATGATTGCGGCTTATACGTTACAGCTACTACAAGAACTATATGCTGCTGGTATGAAAGTAGTGAAAACAAAGACGCTACTGATTTATGTTTTTCTGCAGTAAAGGAGCAGGTGACTCCACCAGTGGTCAGCGAGATGAGGAAGGAGATACTGGGGCTGATTAAAGATCTAATGTCGAAGAAATGAGATATCTTAATTCGGAAGTTAAAACCAAAAAAAAAAATGGGGTCATCATGCAAGAAGATGAAGTTCCATCATTCCACAGATCTTGAATTTCAGGTTTCCTTTCAAAATCTGAGACTTATTAGTGTACTTTCAAAACCAGGGGTTCCTCTGACCTGTAGCTGTACCTGTTCTTGTCCTTATGTGCAATCTCAATCTAGGTAGGGTGATGGACGACCTTTACAAGGAACAAACATTCCTATACACATATTGGAAAAGCCGTAAGGGATGGAGTCCAGTCATTAGTTATAGATCCAATTCCAGTGTTAGGTTGCATAAATCAATCGGTGAAGGAACTCAATTAGCATGATTCCAGGATTTCAATTTCTTACTTTTGAAATTGCAAATTACTATTAATCTTCTGAAATGTATTTTGATGCGATTCAAGATTTTTGTATTGCCTTTTTCTTCCCTTGGAAAAACCTGTATCCTGTCGGGGCTGAGAATCACGTTATAATTCATCATCTTCATTCAAATCTACGTAATTATAATGAAATAAATATTTATCATTTAATTATCACATATGATGGATATTGAATGACTGATTTTTTCAATAATATAATTATGTGATATACATTAACATGTAATAATTATTTCATACAATTTTTTTTCCTAGAGGCTTGACGTGTCATCGTAACATAGAGGGGGCCTCATGGAACACCGAAGGGCAGTGTTTGATTGCCAACATTTGATGGAGATGACCTTTCAATGATCTGAATCTCAACCTTCTAATTGGCAATTGCTCACTGGAATAAAAGAGCTCTGAATGTAATTCCATCTATTAAATTTATGGAAATGCTAAGGAAAGAAACATAAAATTTTACGAGGTGGGAAATTGATAGAGCAATGCCCCATTGCTCCACATCGATGTCAAACATATAATTTTAGAAGCTTTCGATGCAGTCAAACATTAAGCATCTGCTTAAAATTCAATCCTAAAATAGAAAAAGAAAAGCTCTCTGATTCTCCCATGTGAATGTATTACTGAACTCCTGTAACTAGAAACAACAACTCACTCATATCGCAGTTGTGTCCGCTGGATAGCTCCCTTGTACTCGTAAAAACGTTGCAAATTCCTGTAAATGAATAACATAGTTTAACATTAACATCTATAATCTTGAAAGCCATTAGATGACTGATGTAGAGAAAGTGAGAAGCAACCTTTAGATGTCTGAGAGCATTTTGGTCTCTTTGATCAGCCATTGATGCTTCAAAGTCTGTATAGAAAACGTAATCCAAGCAACTGCCAAGAAAAGATCCACAAAATCAGGCCAAAATATGCTCAAATTTACCTCTGCCTATTGATAGCTAGATAAAAGTAAAAGATCTGAAATCAATGTTCAAATTTAATCGTGTAGGAAACAAACAAGTACTAAACAACTTATTTCACTGAACTATGTGGATATATACCAATTGGTTTTACAATTATACTTTGATGCTTGCAAAGATTGGTTCCTCAAGGGACGACTTTCAATCTGGTTAAAGGAAATAATACAGAAAGGTTGTCAATTACGACTTAGTTAAATATATCTTAAAGAATTTAGGCAATTGCAAATTGATATACGTATCTTTAAAAGTTTGATTTACCTCGACATGAACACAAATATATCTTAAAGAATTAGGTTTTGTTAAAACTTTCAGCCTAATGGCCTTGCCCATATGGGCACCTTCCAAGCTTAAGTTCTAGGTGGGGAGTGACTTTTGACAATAAGTACTAACCGACGCATGCAATGCAATGTGCGATTCAACAATAATAAGCAGCAAATGCAGTTTTTCTGTCACTGAAGTTCTGACCTTGAATGGCCGATCGGTGCCAAGACTAAGGGGTTCCCTATTGCAATCATCCAGCCAAAAATATATGTATATAAGGAAAACAAGACTAGGAGTTGTGTGTGTGTGTGTGTGTGTACATATATATATACAACAATACCGAGCCAAGAAAATTGACCCAAAGAAGATTTTTGGAATGTGTAAACCTGAATATTTCGAGCAAGAACGTTCAGTCCATATATCACTGCAGCAGATGTACTAGCAATTGCTCCTGTATATCTTTTATTTTGAACAGCTAGCCACTTGCTACATATGTTTAGAATGATCGATCACATCAAATCGTCAGTTTCTCAATCAAGTTTATTAAGAACTACTCGATTAAGACTTACATTTGCTGCAACAGCAGTATTATCCACTGCTTTTCTGACCAATCCCAACTTTTTCAAGGTCTTCTCGAACTGAGCAAGAGCCTGAAAGATAGTTGCATATATAGCATTTGATGAAAACATTGAAGTTTTAGCAATGTCTATGGCTACCAATTAAGTACACTATATATATCATAGCTGAGGATGGGTGAGAACCATTTTCAAATCTTCAAGTTTAACACCATTGTTGGCTAGCAAGCAATGGGCAACAGCGAGTGTTACTTCCTCCACGATATGCAAATTGTGGCGGAGCAACAGATCTATCCACAAGCGACCTTTCAACAGCCTATATGAAAAAACAACACTGGTATATTAATCAATTAGGAAAACAAAAAAATATAATCATAAACCTTGAAAATGATGGTGAATAGCTCAAAGGTGGTGGCTAGCAAATTTGAAATAACAAGCACAAAGAAGCCATTATCCTTAATTTGAGTTGCCTCGTCTAAACTAAAACGGCAGAAAATATCTGTGGGAATCAATCCAACGTTGGAAAGTAAAGGAAAGAAAGTTCTTTAATAAAGAGAGTAAAAGTGTTTCGTGCTTGCACTAAAGTGGCTAAAGTACTGACGATGGGGGCTATGCACTTCTTCGTTTTAGATTGGATGGGGTATTTGCTAATCAAACCATAACTTAATTGGCTTTTTTTTCATACAATTTACTTTACCGCTTTAAAACCATTACTCATTGCATGATTGGCTTCTTCTCCATCTAAATTTAAAGAGAGATTTGGAGAAGAGTTAAGCGAAGGAAATGATCCCATGGCTCACCAAAAACCTACAAAATCTAAAAGATTTGTTGATACAAAAACCCACATTACAGAAAATAAGTGAGAAAGATCAAATTCAAAACTAGAACCAAAAAATTAAACGAAACAAAAGAATGAAAAATTTTGAGACAAGAAAAAGTTTATTGAACAAAATTTGAAAAGCACTTTTCTGGTTTGAGATAATGGGCGAAGAATTTGGTGAATGATAACATACTTTCATTACCATCCAAAAAGTCTTGTGATCAAGAAGATCCAAATAATCTAGCCAATAACCATTTTTCTTACTTGAAAGTTCTTGAGATATTTTTTTTTATTACGAAGGAGAATTATCCCGTCTTGTAGGAGTTGCTGGGATAGCAAGCACAGCAGTAAGATATTCAAAATCACATATATCCTGCTTTTGGGAATAAAGTTTAATACTACTCCAATTAAGATAATAAGATTATAAAATACATTAGTTTGGGAAAAAAACTCCTAGAAAGAAGGGATTTTGAGTAGTTGTACAAACCATCAATATAAATTGGATAAAAGAGGAAAAATATATTTTGTTATACTCTAGCCTTAAATTCATTTACATTACTGCTTTATGCACATATAACACAACTAAATTTGAACAATTCATTTAGAAATCAACTAAAATCTAAAATTGATTTATATTTAATCTTTGATTGTCAACTTAATTTTTCTTTTTAAATTTTAGTTTGAGTAAAATATAATTACACGATCAGTCTTTATAATTCAAAATTTAATATCTTTCATATAATTCATAAAAATCAAATCTTTTTTTATATCAATTTAATAATATAAGTCCAGTCGATAATTCTATCAACTTTATTCCTCTAAATGCGTGACAATTTCATCATCGTTATTAGTAGGATTGGCATTGGGTCGGATTCGGGGCGGGTTTTGCTTGCCCCGAACTTGACCCGATTTAATACTTTATAAAACTCGAACCCGATCATACTCGAAATTTTTTTTGGTTTTTCATATCCGAATCCGACCCGATCCCAATACCATGTAAACTGTATCCGACCCGACTCGACCCGAAATTAATAAAATATTATTTTTTAAAATATAAAATATTATTTTTTAAATATAAATATTTAAAAATATCATTATATAAATATATATATATATAATAAAAAATTAAATAATAAATTAAAAAATAATCTTTTATATAATATCGAATCGGGTCGGGTTTTAAACAAATCCAACTCCGAATGTTTCTTTATTTTACCCGATCCGACCTCAAAACTCGAATTAAAAAAAAAAATCGATCTCATGGGATCAGATCTAACCGAAACCCATTGAAAACAGGTTAACTCGCCATCCCTAGTTATTAGTGATAATTTCTCTATCTACTTCCATTAAAAGATTGTAGCCTCAAAACTCAAACCCTCTGCTGCCATTAGGAGATGCCCTAAGCCATAAACATTAAAAAAATAATAAAGTAAAAAGAGCCTGGAATAGGTTATCATTTGTCAATATCTGTGCTATCGGCATGTGTTGTAGGGAGAACCTAAAATTAATAAAGTTTTTTTACCTAATAAAGCAACATTTGTGAAGCGTATTATATATTTTGGTAAGAGAAATTTAGCAAAAACAAAAATGGGAATGGTATAAGCTATTTACATTGGAAATAATTTTTTAGTCAAAAATTTTGATTTTTATATATTTATATAAGATAAGATAAGATTTAAATTGCATAATAAATTTAATAAAATCATAAATTATATGCAAAAGGTTTTGTTTTGGAAATATTTTATCTTTTTTATTTGAAACAAAAACTTGAAATATCTTTTGATTCCCTACCAAGCCACGCATTGATTTATACAATTATGTAATATATCTTGTTTTTCATATAAGGAAAGGATTAATAAAAAAATTATTTATACTACTAATAAACTGGTTGATTGAATTTGGTGTTACTAATCAAGACACCAACTCAATTGAAAAATAAACTCAAAACTCGAATTAAATTATAATAAATTAATAAAATAAAGGTTAAAGATGTCATTCAATATATTAATTTAAATATACTTTTAGTTAATTTTATTTTTAAAATTAGTCGCACACCTAATAGTAATTTTTTTGTAAAAAAAAAAAAAAAATCACACCCTATAAATAAAAATAAATTCATGAATTTTAATTTTATTAAATATCATTTAAAAAATACATGAATTAATCGAATTAAATTTTAAGTTCATTTAATTAACCTTTTATAGTTACTTTTTTTATTTCTTTCATCTATTTTTTCTTAAATTTTTTATTTTTTAATATATATTTTTCTTTCAAGCATAATTTTTTAAAAATAACTCAACTTTTACTTTTATTTTATAAAATATTATATTGAATTAAAAATATGTTTAAAAAATTATAACTCAAAATTTATAAATATTATTAAAATTTTTAATTTTATTAAAAACAATAGACAATAATTTTGAGATGAGAGAGTATATTAAAAAAATGTCAACTTTTCTTTTCCAGATTCTTAATTAGTGTTCGATAAATTAATTAATTAATATTCAGAAAAAAATAGTATTACTGTATATCTGTTTTACCAAAATGAAATCTCTTCGATACGGTGAGTGCACAGTCCCCATCCAAAAATGGAAAAATTTACATTTTGTTGAGCTATTTATTTAGTCTTCAAAATATCGCCCCGGCCTTTCTTGTCAGGATCTGAAGCTGACTCCTTATGGCTACCACTTCCAATGTGCGGTCCCCAACGGCCCCACTCTCCGGCGAAGTCATTATCTCCGATCATAAACCAACGCCACCGGTTCGAATCTCGCAATTTCCTTTGAAGCGCCCTCGTTTAACCGCTGTTTTCGCTTCCCTCCACTACGACAACAGCGACGGAAGCAATAAGATTAAGAAGGCCGTCGGGTTGGAGAAGCTTTTAGTCGATTCACCTTACGACGTCGTCTCCAAGGACTCCCCTTTGCATCCCAGTATGAAAATCCCCGTCTTCGCTTTTCTTAGGGTTTATCTTTTATTTTAAATAAAAATTGTAATTTTACTTGGGCTATTTTGTCATTTTCTTCAGAGCCACTTACGTCAACTCAGTTCTCTAATCCCGTCTCTGATGGCTCTCGCCTTCGCGTTGCATATCAGGTAGTATTTATTTATGGAAAAACTCATCTATAACAACAATTTTTATATTTTTTTCAAACGAATGGGATTGGGCCAAGGTTATTTTTTAATTTAAATTAACAAAATTTTACTAGAATTCAATGAAATTGATTGATTGATTAATTTAAAAGGGAGTTCGTGGAGCCTATAGCGAAGCAGCAGCTGAGAAGGCCTATCCGAATTGTGAAGCTGTTCCTTGTGATCAATTTGATGCTGCTTTTCAAGTAATTACTTCAACTCTTTTTTTTTTTAATTCATTTTGATAAATATTTAGTTTTTATGTTAGAAAATGAGGTTAATTTTGAATGCTTTAGCATTTAGCATCTTTGATTAGTCTTCATTAAGAACTGATTTTAATTATTATTTTTTAATTAGGCAGTTGAAAAGTGGATAGTAGATAGAGCAGTATTACCAATTGAGAATTCCTTAGGTGGTAGTATTCATAGGAATTATGATCTCTTGCTTCGTCATAGCTTGCATATTGTTGGGGAAGTTAAGCTTGCTGTTCGTCATTGTTTAATAGCCAATCATGGTGTTAAAGTCGAGGACTTGAAAAGGGTTCTTAGTCATCCTCAGGTATGTTGCATTAAGATTTAACATGCTTCTTGACTAAGTTTCTCTTGTTATTTGGAATGACTTTTTTTTTTTTTTCTGAACGCAAATCACGTTTCAGGCTCTAGCTCAGTGTGAGAACACATTAACAAAGATAGGCTTGAGTAGAGAATCAGTTGATGATACTGCCCTTGCAGCAAAGGTGAGTCTTGATTTGGAGCATAGAAATTTATCTGATATGAAAGGTTTTATAAGCTTTGTAGCTGAATGTACAATATGATGTACATGACGTGCTTTGATTGTCTAAGGATGGTAGATGATCTTATTTACCCTCTGGTCTTTTCTTTGTCCTTTTTTTTTTTTTTTGATATAGCAATGCATATGGTAGGTTGGCCTGAGCCATTTTATCTAGTTCAGGTTAGGTGGCTTCCCTGATGATCTGAACTTGATGAAATGTATTTTATTCTCTCGTGTGGATGTATCAAAGATATGGAATTTGTATTACATGGTTGTTCTTGTAATTAATTGCTGCTGTTGCATGAATGGTTTCCAATTTTGACTGATTGAATGGCTGTTTTTATGTAGTATGTGGCTTTCCACAAACTAAAAGATACAGGAGCTGTTGCAAGTTGTTCGGCTGCAAAGATATATGGACTGAACATTCTTGCCCAAGATATTCAGGTTTATGTCGATTTTGTCTGATCATTAGTGGTTTGATGTTGGATATTTATCAGAACTTTGAGTTTGGTATGTTCCCCTTTTTGGCAGGATTATTGTGATAATGTTACTCGATTTCTAATGCTGGCCAGGGAACCCATTATTCCTGGCATGGAGAAGCCATTCAAGGTTTGCCTTTCAATGACAGAAAATCATTTGCAGTCAAAATACTTGGTTATAATTGTTCCTATGCTGTGCTGCATTTACAATTCATTGTTGCTCATGAAGGTTTTCTGATGTATGCAATTTTTTTAGACGAGTATAGTTTTCTCATTAGAGGAGGGTGCTGGTGTGCTTTTCAAGGCACTTGCTGTTTTTGCTCTTCGGCAGATTAACCTTACAAAGGTATTTGTCTTTTTTTTTTTTCCTTTCTGTGGTTTTTTCAAGTCACTTTGAAAAGTTGTGTTTGAAAGGTTTTTCTAGGTTGTTTAACATCCTTTGTTTATATGTTACCTTTGATCAGATTGAAAGTCGTCCCTTGAGGAACCAGCCTTTACGAGCATCTGATGATAGCAACAATGGTTCAAAGTAATTTTAGTAAAATATCAAATGTATCTCTTTTTGCAATTAAATGAAGATTAAGACGGGTTAAAAATGGCTTTTAGTAAAACCGATCAATTATATACACCATTATTTGATTCTTACTACCAATCATTTGGGTCGCTTAAACAGATTTCATCTTGATTGTGTCATTGTCTTTTAATAGATACTTTGACTACCTTTTCTATGTGGACTTCGATGCATCAATGGCTGAAGAGAGAGCGCAGAATGCCCTAACACATCTAAAGGTATATTGCTCTTCCTCTTCCACGACCTTTCAAGAGAATTAGATGTTAGATATCTATCTAATAATATGTTTCCTTTGCAGGAGTTTGCAACTTTCTTGCGAGTTCTAGGGAGTTATCCAGTGGATACTACCATGATATGAACAAGTTGTTGATCATGGTAAGTATTCATGTGAACAAATTTTGAGGGATAGTTTAATGGCAGGCTTCAACTTCTATAAGATGATTCAATGGCAGAATGTTGCTAGATCATTATCATTTCGTACAACTTTGTATATATATCTTATTCAAATTAATTTTCAGAGCTTTAATAAAATGCTGACTAAAATGAGGTTGTTAGGACTATTGTTGAAGATGTAATAGAACTAAGACAATTTTGGATCTCTTAAAAAGAAGATCATCTGCATTATGTCTGCTCAGTTCCTTCATGAACTTTTTGTTACTGATTAACCTGAGACATAATCACTAAGTCATTGACTCTTGTCTAGAAAGGTAGACTATAATAAGAATTAGTCTTTTTAAAATGGGTGGCAGCATTAAGAAAGAGTATATTTTACGATTGAGCTGGAGGGAGGGAGTAAGGCAGAGGGAATACAGTAATATCCTTGTTTCAATTGAACAGCAGAGCTCAAATTTTTAATAATTGACTTGGACAATGCGCTGAAACCTTGAAATGCTGCCATTGCATATTAATTGATCAAGCCATTGTTGATTCATGTTCAGTCAGTCACTTGCACTGAAGCCAATAGTGTTTTGAATATCTACATTGCTTTTTTTCCCTTTTATTTATTTATTTATTTTTTGCTGCTTGAATGTTGGAACTATAAAGTGTGTATTGATGGATGCTTGATGTTATATGTGTCTAGGATAAATGGTGATTATCTAGTTTTTGTCCCTCAAGAAATATTTTCCTGTGGAAGATATTGCTGTTGGGCCTCTAAGCATGTGAAGCTTAAGGTCTGAGAGACTATCCTTTTCTGATTTCTCGTACAAGCTATTTTATTGGGGTTTTTATAAATGAATGAGCCTAAATCTAGCTTGAATTCAAAGATATTTTCACTCACAATTGTTTAATAAACTTAGCATAGCTTGAATTTGAATAAAATATTAAATGCTAATTTGGCTATACTCAAAATGTAGTTTGGATCCAAACATGACAATAAGTGCAAGTTTAGGCCTCAAAAGCTGCTAGCCAACCTTATCTGTGTTTGAGTTGTGTTTGTTTAAATTTTGGCAAAAATAACTTTTTTTTTCTTTTTGCGTTTGTGACCTAAACACACTTTTGGGAAACACAATACCCAACTTCCTTGTTAAAAATGTAGTCTATAGTGAGATCTTTGCAGTGGATATTTTGTATTTTGCTAAAACAAGGTACATTATCCTTAGGGACAGATGTGTGCCTTAGTACGCTAACATTCCAGAAGGATGTTAGGGCATATTTTGTGTATAGTCCTTGGGACTTTATTGATGCATTTTAAGGAGAGTGTTAGGGGAGTTTTGTGACCTTGGTGCCTTACCACCTTCCCTTTTGCCTGTATCTTCCCAATTCTCTCAATTACTTGACAAACATGGTAGCTGTTGCTAGTCATTAGTCTCATCTCTCCTTTATCCGCTGTAGATTCTGTCTAAGGTTTCATGTTTCTGTTAGAAAACTTTGCTGAGTAATATGCATATTAAAATGGTGTAAATATGCTTTTTTTTTTTTTTTTTAACTTTTGGTCAAGCAATTAGTGAGCTTTTCTTTCTGACACTTGTTTGATAATGCTGATGCAGAACTCGATATGAAGTGTCAATATGTTTACATGGATCAAAATTTTACATTGCACATTACATAAGGTGGCTTTTTTTAATATAAGAAAACAGATGTTGAATCGGCTTTCATTTTGCTGCTATTGATAGCAAAGCCACTGAGCTGTGGAGGAATGGTGATACATTCCTACTCTGGCTGTACAGCCTATAATTTTCCATTTTGTGATTAAGCAATAGAAGTTTTTTTTTTTTTTTTTTTGGTCTAAGTGGGTATACTTAGTTATTGTTTTCATTCTTGTCCTTTCTTCTGAAAACTGCTTTGAGGTTACACAATTATTTGATTTCTTTCGTGCATGAAGTCTGAATTTAAGTGTGTTTGAGTGTGTGCCCATATGAGAGAGTTGCGACAGAATTATAATATATACACGTTTATTTTAAATTAATGGCTTTTAAGACTAACACAGTTTTTACTTAGATTTCGTGTTATTAAGATTTTTGTTATTTACATTTTTATTCATTTTTAATTAAAAAATAATTTATACAAATACCAACCAAATAAATCCTTGACATTAATTCAGTAAATTTGACAATTATACACTTGTTTAATTCATTGAGTTATTAAAGTGCTAACAAAAGTAAGCATGGGTATTTAACACTTGTTTTTTCTGATAACGTAAACGAAGGAAAGGATATGTATGGTTGCATGTGTACGAGAGTAGACTAGGCGGCAAGAATCTGGCAGTCAACTCTCTCGGAAGAAGACAGAAGAATCAAGGGGTCTACCTCATCTGCTTCGAACAAAAGCAACCACACTCTCAGTCTCTGAACAACATTGGTGGGGTTAATGGTCCACCGGCCAGAGCCATTTTCAACCGACAACTGCACGCCATTGCCAACCCAGGGGGCTGCCAATAATAGTCCCCTACCCACAACATCACAAATTTCATTTTTTCAAACTCTAGTCTGTTGCCCATAACATCGCCACCACCCACCTGCCTTAATGAAATGCTTGACCATTGCCCATTAATCCTAATTTCAAAATTGCCCGTCGTCCAGTCCACTTTGACAACGCAAGATTATTAATAGTTATGATAATGGTACTCTCCCCAACTTTCCTTCTTTCTTCAATCCCCTCTATACCTTTAAAAAAAATCTCAAGATTCGTTTGCTGTGAAGTCAGAAATAAAACATCATAAATCAGAATGTGGCAATTGAGATGGTCGGGTTTTTGCCGTATCATTTTAAATCGAAGAAACTCATATATGTTAATTAAATTCAGATTAATTTGGGTTGAGTTGGATTTAGATTTGGACGAATTGAGCAAGTTCTAGAATCTGCTTTGCCAATTCTACACAAATTTGGTCACCCCCTTCCCTAGCTAGTGAATCGAGGATGGCTCATTCTTATATGTAGTTTGCCAGTTCAGAATAAAAATCTCACTTTGTTATTAATTAGTTCTAATAACAATGCAAATGTAGATGAAAAAGCCATCAACTTTCATTTGGGTCCTCTTGCTTTAAAATTTCAATTTACCTCTTGATCACTTTTTGTGTACCGAAAATCTCCTATTAAATGCATATTAATTGGTTTTCAATACTATTTTTTTTTTCACCACTTTTCTAGCTAGATAAAGCCTAACTAAAGGTGGATGTGTAATATACCTGAAATGATCTATGTTCTCTCTATTTTTCCCCCCAATTCAAAGTCTAGTTGAAAGTTATTCTCACACTTATATAACTTCCATCTACTTCTTACCTCCAACTGATCTTTTTCAAGACAAATGAATTGGTCCAACACAATCTGAGGTTTTCTTGGTTGTTCATGTTATAATTACATCATAGTCCGACAAATTAGTATTTTGAAGCTATTCTTAACAAACCTTTTACATGCATGGGTGTTATTTTCAATACAAAATTTCTTTTTCACATTCATTATTCTCAAGAATCTTGCACTACTAAGTTTTTTGTTCTAACTTATTTCACCAGTGTTTTTTTTTTTTTCAAAGAGACTATAATTTAATAATAAAAAAAATAATTACAAGTGCTGAAATCTGAATATAAATCTATTAAATATTATTTTTTAAAAATAACTGTATACATCGAATAAATTAAACTTCAAGTTCATTGTATATGTCAAATTTAGATTGTATGTCTAACATCAAAGTCTAGTTTCCTACAACACATACTTAAATTAAAAAATAAAAAATTTAAAAAATATTAATATATAAATTCATGTTTTTTCCCATCTTTTCGTCTCTGAAATTTTTGTTAGATTCATATGGTAAAGTAGAAAGGGAGCGGGAATTTGAATCTTATATCTCAATCTTTTTAACTGGGATGATAACCCATTAGGTCAAATATGAATTATTTCCTGAAATTTTTTTTCCATCATTTGAACTACGTATAACTTAGAATGTAAGAGTCGTAAATTTGAAGGTAGCGGGATCCCTATCCTATGCATTAATTTCGTCCAAAAATGCCGACAATGGCTCAGTTTGCACATATATATCTTTTTGTAACACATTGCGCCCACGCTATTAGCTTAGCATAGCTTACACCGCCATGCTAATCTTAGGTCTTAGCCACCTTTATGACTCACAATGATCGCCTTGGATCTACAAAGTGCCACAATGTGAACCATGTGCCAAGCTGATAGAGGGGGATCCACATGTAACACTTAAGACATTTATAGATATCTCTAAAAATTGAAAATATGTGTTGTCAATAAAATTAATAAATTTATCGATAATTATATATATTATAAGTAAATATTTTCAAAAAAAAAATTAATTTCGTTACTAATATATATATGTCCGCATAGCATAGCTGATAATTGCGTGGCATTAACTAGAAATTAAGAATTTTATACGTAAGTTTGGAATCATGTGTTGGAGTTGCGTGCATGCACTTACAAGGTTTGGAAGCACAATATCTGACGCACGTACGTACGTTAGCAATTAGGGATGATGAGTTGTTTTGGAGTGTTAAAGTAGCATACCAATTATAATTTGATAACGGAAGTTTGTTTGTAGCTCCGTTACTGGATCTCTGTCTTTTTGTCTATAAACCAAGACTAAATCAAATCCGTTACCAACCAACCATGACCTTGACGTCAATCTGACGTGATACCTTTCTCTCTCTTTTCTTCTCTCATTTCTCCCTAACGTGCCAAATGAAGTACGTACTTCCGACTTTTATCCATTTATTTTTAAAATTTATTATTAATTTCGAGCAATTGAGTTTCAATTTCTTATTTGTTAATATAAAAATTTTTATCTACAATAAACCCATCGTTAAAAATAAATAAAGAAATTTAGTTTGATTTTTTTTATCTAATTTTGAAAACGCAATATTCAAATTAAGGCAATCAATCTTTCTAATGCAAACACACACATCTATAATCTACAAATATCAAAAGTGAATATTTGTATTTTCACAGATTTAGATTTTTAAAAATAAAAATAAAATGAAACATAAGTATTTTTAAAAAAATTTATTAAAATCAATGAAGATGATATGTACTTGTGATTGTAGTTGATTGTGTGTAGTCAAAACTTGGTGATAATTGTTACAAATTCATATCTGAAGGATCATCACTAGTTCATTACTTATATGGTAAAATTATATAAAAAAATGAAAATTAAAAAAGTAAAAGAAAAGATTATGCTTTGCTTGATGAGGAAGAAGAAGAAGAAGAAGAAGAAAGGGATACATATGTATGGGATTTGTCTTTTGGGAGAGTGGATGATGGATTGGGACTTGGGAGTGGTGTGGTAAGACTAAGGGAAAGTGCTTTGATTTGGTTAATGTGTTATTGGAATATGTTGGAACGTGGATGAAGGGAATGATGATTGTTCTTTTGTTGGGATTGAGTTGAAATGAGGTTGCTTTGGTTTCCTCGTAAACTGAAATATTCGTATCGTAGTCGCACACCATATACCACGACTTTGGTCTTACAATCTGCCGTTTGGACCCCCCCTGCCTCTTGTCCTCTCTTCTTTGCTTTTGCCTCTCTTTTTTTCCTCCTCTACTTTTCGCTTTCAAACCAATTGTCTTTTATTTTTATTTTTTTATTAATTACTACTTTATTTTCTTTTGTCTTAAAAAAAAAAAAAGTTTAGAATTTGATTTCGAGAGACGTTCACATTTATGATAGACCAACTTATGAACACATTCCACACCTCTTTTCTTGTGTTTAATGGTGATGTGTGTAAGAAAAAATTTAAAAGTAGATAGATTGTTCAATTGTCTAAATCAAAATAAAATGTATCATATTATTAGTTTAAGATAAGTGATGGTTGTAAGTCATGTATTCAATATGTTTCCAATAAGTGATCATCGATAATATTTAAATTCAAAATTTTTTCATCGAAAAGGACGATTCTAACCGATTGAACCAATCATTTATTTAAAATAATGATGTGTGTATATATTTTTATAATAAATATAAAAAATTATTTTATTCATTATTAATAAAATTTAAAATTGACATGATCACAAGTACCTTTTAAACATGAGAAACTCCATAAATTAAGGAATGTATACACCTATTGTTAGGGGTAGCAATTACTCTTTTCAAAAGAGTAATTATAGTAATTCATTAAGCGAATTAAGGTTCAAAGTTCGGTTTCACCTCAAAAACTTTCATATGTAATTGAAAAGTATGGACTAAACCCGTCTATGGGTTAAATTAGACATGAGTTAAGTTTGATTGGCCATTAAAAATATTACTCACGGATTCATAAAGTCATTTTTTTAAAAATATATTAAAACATTTAAAAATCTAAAATAAATTATTATTAATTTTAAATATATTTTAAAATTAAAATTAAATAAAAATATTTTTAATTAATAAAATAATACTTCGAGCTAAACTAGGCCGAACTTAGACTTAAAAACTCAAGTTGAAAACCCATGTACAAGTCTAGGGTGAACAACTTTCTTTAAAAATTAACTTAAAGATAAATGACCTTGTTAGGCTTAATTTAAGTGGTAAAGAGGTAATAAGTTAATTGGGTAGAGTTTTTGTAGATTCGAGCAATTACTATCGATTATATTAATTTTCTACTAGAATAATCTGATGATGATTGCAAAATTTTAATGAGCTGTCAGGGAAGCCATGCATTTGGTGGCAAATAGGTAGGAACACTCACTAGCGTTCCAATTTCCAATATTGACACATTTGGGGAGATAAGGCATGTCTACTATGAAGCCTTCTTTTCCGAAGATTAAAAAGGCATCAAAATGCCTAAACTTTGCCTATAATTAGGGATGGCAAATGGGTCTGAACTTATTGAGTTTTGATCTAATTTTATAAGATCGAGTTTTTTAAAAAAAATTAAATTAAATTTTGGCTAAATCAAGTTTTTATAGAAGAAAATTTGGATTGGATTGAATTTTTTTTCAAAAAATTCAATTTTTGGGTTAGATTAGGGTTTTTATAAAAAAAAAAAAAATTGAGATATAATGGGTAAACTTGGTATATATATATAATATTTTTATTATTTATTTAATTTTATATTTATATTTATATATTATATTAATAAAATTATTATTTAATACTTTAATTAAAAATATTAACTTAATAAAATATTATATCTATGTATAATTAAAATATAATTTACATTAAAAATAATAATTTATAAATATTATATTAAATTAAAATTACTAAATTAAGATTAAATCAATTATATATATATTTTTTTTGTTTCAAGAGAGATAAAGCCCTACATCAATAGAAGAAGTGGATGAAGAGAGGCTGAGGTCGAACCCCAGTCCTATGTCTTTTTTAAGGTTTATTTGATTATTAAATCAAACAGACGAAAATAATTATATTTTTATACATATATAAATCAAATATAAAAAAATAATATTTTAACATAAAAATCAAATCAAAATGAAAATAAACAAAATTCCTTCTTTTCTGACCCATTCCAATCATTACCTATAATTATTTAGTTAGTTGTTAAGAGTTTTATAAAAGAAAATTCATCTTAGCCAGCCATAGGGATTCTTTGCAGTGGGAATGCTGATTGCTGGATTCTTTTCTTAACTGAACATGCTTTGGCACAGTTTTCTATTCTACCTTCACTTTTTTTAAAAAAAAATTTTATATATTTTTTTATTATTCAGTGTGTTCTTTGACTGATAAATTTGACCAGTCAAACAACTAGACTGATCATCCCTATGAACGTGAAATATCCACTTCTATCACCTCGTCTCCCCCACTGCCCCACCTCAATCTTTGCCTCTCCCCTGCCCCAAAATGCTTCTCATCATCAAGTTATTCTTAAATCCTAATTACCAAACTTACCACTAATCCATAATTTTATTTTTACATGCAACTTAATAAAGTGTTTAATATTTTGATTATTCATAAAATGTAAGTATTTATGAATTTAGAAATATTTTTTATATTTAAAACTATTAAAAATTATATTTTAATTATAAAACAATTATAAATCCAACAAAAAGACATTTCACATTCTCATATATGCACATTTCTCTTCTTTTTTAGACATTTAGATTATGGAGCATAGCCAAAGAAAATTTTTCTTAGGATCCAAAGGATATCATGGAAGTGGGGATCAATCATTGTCTTGTTTATTATTTTCCAGCTTCCGACAGATGATGACAAGTTAGAATTTTTGGTTCGTAACATTGTTTTTCTCGCCAATCCAAGAATCTAGGCCCATAAATGGAAAAATAAATAAGGAAAAAGAAAATGGAAAAGGGTTAGGCTATACCTAGATTTTAGCCATTTGATCTTCCCTTGATTGACTGATCATCAGTTTCAGTGGATTGCATGTGGATTCCTAGCTTCTCTTCTTTTCTTTTCTTTTTTTTAGCGTATAGAATTCATCTTTTAATCATTCATTTTCGTGCTGTAATCTCTTTTGCCCGTTGTCGTGACTAATTCTTTCTTTATAAAATGACTTCCCTTGGACTAAAGGCAACAAATAAGAACGGTGTTTTATAGATTGTAGATAACCTATAAAATTGCATTTAAATATCATTGACATAGTTACAAAGTCTTATTTTCACATACAAATTCACTTAAAGTACATACGTCATTAAATTATGTAAGTTTTTTTTTTTTTTTTTGCTTAATTTGTATATAACAAGATGATATATTATCTTTAATTATAAACCATATCCTAATTATTTTAAGATTTAAACTCAAAACAACCATTAAAATATCTCTTGTGAATTTATAATGTTTATATTATAAATCGAATGTGAGTTTTTTTTTCATATAAAAGAATTCATTATTTGAGGATAAAAAAAATTATAAATATTAAAATTTAAATGTAATATTTACTAGATTATCATTTTCTAAAAGTAAATGTATAAACTAATTAAACACATTTACAGTGAAAAGTTGCTAGTTAAATCACATTTACAATCTATGGGGTCTCCAAATCCAAACGAATGCCAAAAGAAATGCATGCATTAAAATAGGAAAAGGATAAGATTCCACAAAATGCAGTAAGTTGTGTGATTTGAGCTCAAAAAACGTGTCATTTTTTGGACCAGTGCATCCATAATTAGCTATGTAAATATTGATTTTTGACCCTAGCCGGGCAAATAATGATGTTGTGGACCAATTTAATGAAGTTAGATAACATTATCTGTTTTTTTTTTTTTTTTTAACAAAGGGACAAGAAAATGAAATGGTGCAATTTAAACTTTCACTCTATATTATTTAATTATTATATCAAAAAATTAAAGATCATAAAATTATCTGTTTAATCCAACTCTTAAGCTTCATGTATAATTTTTGAATCAAATATTCGAATGGATTATATTTTATTGTTTAATTTAATATTATATTTAATTATTTTTTTGAATAATATTTTTTAAAATTACAAACGTTTAAAAATAAGTTTTAATCTTGTAAATTTTATTTTTTTAAAAAAATTAATCATTTGAATTAGATTTTAAATTTTAATTACTAAATATTTGAAGGTGAGTGAGACAATACATATAAAAAATGTTCCAAAAATGGACCACATTTGAGGCAAAGGGGGAAAAAAGCAAACTCCATGGTGGGCTACCTAAGCTGCTGTAATAGTTCTGTGTAATGTATAAAATACGTTATGCATCAATATAGAAATGAGGATGGAAGATCCCCTTGTCGTTGTCAACCAGTAGTACTGTTTTTTCTCTGCCCATGTCCCTAGCCATCATTATAAGTCCACGTCATCAGAACCTTCAACTAACACAAACACAAACACAAACAAAAAACTATTGAAATTACAATCAAAATCAATTCCGGCAGCGGGACCCCACCACCACCTCCACTTCAATTCCGCACTCATCCATGACAAAACTTGTTTAGATTTCTATCTTACCTTAGTGTACGAGTTATGGGTTTATGTTTCATCCGTTCTAAGTGTGTAAGGTTTTTATATTATTCATGAATTAGATGGTTTTATATCATTAATAAAAATAAATAAGATAATATCATTTTTATTAATAAATTAATTTTTTAAAAAATTTTAATTTTTATATATTTATTTTAAAAATTAATATTTACTCGATAATAAATTAAAAATATATAATTTATTGTATATAAAATATATTAATAATGTATTAAATATAAATTCATGAGTTATAACTTACCCATTTCTTCAAACTTCGTGATCAAATTTTCTGTTGCAATTTGCATGGTTTGTTGTCATTGTTCCTAGTGTTTTTCTTCAATGAATTTAATTTTTATAAGATTAAGAATACTTTCAAATTTTATCCGAATCTAAGTTGTTTCGTTAAATGGTCTCATCATCATAGCACTTTTGGACATCGATTCGATGCATTTAATTTCCTTTTCAAAGAATTTATCATAAAAATCAAATCTTTGTTGATCGGAAAAACAAATCATCTTTCTTATCAGCTAATTAATTCAAAATGTGTATGAATTTAATTTCTATTCTAGATATGCTATGTGAAGGTGAATTTAGATTTAAGCTTTTAGGGATGCAATCACCAAATTAAATTGTTCGAATTAAACTCTAATGATCAATCAAGTTTTGTTCAAATTCATTTATTGACCAAAATAAAAACACCAATAAATGAAACTACTATTGATAGGGATTCAAGTTTGAATTTAAAGGTACCTAGCTCATGAATGTGATTAATGCAACTCAAAAGACAACTTGTTTATTAGGGTGTAGTTTGATGCACTCTTTTATAGATAATTAAGATAAAGGGGAATATGCAAGTTTGTTTTAAATCAAATTTATGAACTTGTTATAACATCATTTAATTCATTTAAGCTCCATCTAATTGTTGCTTTCATTTTTTTTTTATTTTTTTTTTTAATATAGAAAAATGAAAAGTGAAAAAAAAAACAAAATGAACTAAAAACAAAAGATATATAGTAATAAAAAGTAAAAATATCAATCAAATGGAAATATTTAATTTACAATTCTCTTTACTATAATATTATAATTAATCAATCATAATAAAAAATTATGTAATAGTATTCGATTAGTTTAAAATTAATTACTTAAAAAGCTAATAATATTTAATTATAGAATTGATTAATATTCTCCTCTTATTTTTTGAGTAGTTTTTTAGATGTTTTTAAACTATATTTTTTTAACACTTAAATTTTTATTTTTATATTTTAAGAATATTTTCATAAATTTTTATTTTTAATATTAGGAATTATGAAACAAATAATTTTAAAAAATTAAAAAATTGATATTATATACATCAAAATCAAAATTTTAAACTTTTTAAAAATCAATAAAGAATTAATAATTTGAGACATAAGAAAATATAAATGTATATAAAATAATAATTATGTAGATTAGAGGTTAATAAATGTATTTAAAGTTAATTTGTAATATTGTAGATCTTTTTGGCCAGTAACATTGTGGATTATTTTATTAAGAACAAAGAAAAAAAAAGTGTGCTTTTTGTCCCGGTGTTTTCGAAACACGAGGTTTATGCTAGTGTTTTCATGTTTTGGTGTGTCGTAGGAGTGATTTGAGTCGCAGAGTTTTTGGCGATCAGATATGATTTAGGGGAGGGAAGGAGCTGGTGGCTGGTGGCTGGTGGCTGGAGATGATGCATGATGGTGGTGGTGGAGAGTGGGGACCCCTAACTCCAGTGGACCCCACAGCATAGTTGCATCCACGCGAGAAAGGGTCCCACGAAGACAAGCGCCAACGGCAATGTTATACCTTAGCTTAGCTTTGCTAGGTTTTTCTTTCTCCCTCTATCTTTGCTGATTTCTCCATTTCTTTTTTTTTTTTTTCGGTTTTTGTTCAACTAATGAAAGCTTTTTCTAGGCGCAAGCCAATCGCATCCACCATCTCGTACCGGAAACTATCATTACACTTCTGTATATCTCTCTGTCTCTGTCCCTTGAATAAAATAAAATCAAATAAACTAATTTCATTTCTTTACTCTCTCTCTCTCTCTCTCTCTCTCTCTCTCTCTCTCTGGGAGTGTTTGGGGTGTGGGGGCTAGCTTTTGCTTTATATAGTTAGGAGGGGGGGGAAGGTGCTGTCCTTACTTTTGTCTTCGCTTTGCTCTCTGCATGACTTGAACTGTTAGCAAAAACAAGCTCCATCTCTCTTCTTCTCTTTTCTTTCATACTACCCTTTTCACTATCTTTTCTTTGTACTACTATTTCTCTTCCTGTTGAATTTAAGAACCCCCCCGCAAAAAAAAAAAAAGTTGTAATTCCTTTAGGAGTGTTGGGTATTTTGCTTTCTTTTAGTTGCATGGATGGATCCTTCAAGTGGACAACACCAGGTATAAATACATATATATGATCATAGTGTACACACATATGTTATGATAATGTAATTAATGCTTTGTGAAATGTGAACTTTACCCATTTTTTGGTGTCTCCCCTTTCTTTTTCAATTTGTTTTTTTTTTGTCTGAATATTCGAAAAGATGTGATCTTCAGTTATACAATATAATTAGGAGTATATCCGTTTGTCAAGATCAAAGTTAGCAAAGGGATGAAAAAGAAAATTTGATTGTGGAGCTTTTTGCTTATGTATGTTCTTGCATAAAATAAGTATTATTATTATTTTTCTATGTCACAGTTCTTCTGATTTGATTTAAATTGGAACCAGTTTTAGTTTTTGATTTCTTTCTTCTTTTCCGTTTTTACTGTTGTTTTGATTTCTTGATTGATAAGATAAGATTCTTTCTTCAAGACATATGCTTCATTTGGATGTAATTAAGAAACTTATAGGAAAGGGGAAAGAATCATAATATCTCATATAATCCTACCACAGCTTGACCCTGAATTTCTTCTCAATAATTCATGCTTACAATCAACTTTTGTAGTTAAGTGAATATATTAAATAGAAAAGATTGAATAAAAGCCTCTAAACTATCCCTTGCATGATGACCCCACTAATGATGGCAATTTTCCATCATGTATGTGTTGATCTGTGCGTAGTATATCCGAAGTGTCGGCACATTCAAATAAGTATGCAATTAATCATCTATTTAAGGGCATCTTTGATTTCTTGTAATTTGGTCTAATATATATCTTCAATTAATGTCTTTTTTTGGTGAATTAATTCAGGAGATGTCTAACCCTTCATTGGAAAACATGCTGGTTTGCTCAAAAGGACAGCAAGAGAGAAAGCCAAGGCCTCAACCTGAACAAGCTCTCAAGTGCCCAAGATGTGATTCCACCAACACCAAATTCTGTTACTACAACAACTACAGCCTTTCTCAGCCAAGGTATTTTTGCAAGTCATGCAGGAGGTATTGGACCAAAGGAGGCACACTGAGAAATGTTCCAGTGGGTGGTGGGTGCAGGAAGAATAAAAGATCATCATCTTCATCATCATCAAAGAGAAGCCAAGATCAACCACTAACACCCCATACCAACCCACTCACTAGCCACCTCCCACCTTTGAGTTACGACACCAATGACCTCAGCCTGGCCTTTGCTAGGCTCCAAAAACAATCTAGTGGGCAGTTAGGGTTTGATGATCATGACCTTTCTATTCTTGGAAACCCCACTAATACCCACTGTGATATTCTTGGAAACCCTAGCCTTAACTGTACCGCTTCAGCTGCCAATCCTGCCTTTCTTGATGCACTCAGAAGCAACTTTCTAGGAACCCAGAACAATTTTCAGAATTTTCAGTATGGATTTGGAAATGAGAACATGGGGGAGGTGGATAATGGGGGTAGAAGTGTGGGTATTAATGGGGAAATGATGCTGCCATACAATAATGAAGAAATGAATAACATTGCAACAACAACATCAGCTGTGACGGTGACAACAATGAAGCAAGAGTTGTGTAATGGTTATGGTAGAGAAAGTGAGAATAGAGTCTTATGGGGTTTACCCTGGCAGCTTGGTGGAGATGGTTATAACATGGGTGATCTTGATTCAGGCAGAGAAAGCTGGAATGGACTCAATTCATCTTGGCATGGACTTCTTAATAGCCCTCTAATGTAGAAAAAAAATGGAGTGTTTTTCTTTTTCTTTTTCCTTTTCTTAATGTCTGCAAGCAGCATAGAAAGGCATAGAGTTTTCTTCTCATATCAAAACTGATAGTATCTCAGTTTTTAATCTCTTTTTGAGTTTTTTGTATTAGGAGATTTGATTCGCTAGAATCGTCAGCATTTCCCATTTGTTTTCTACCTTGTTTTTTATCCCCTTTTCATTCTATCATGGGTTGATAAGCTAATGATATTTCAAATTTGTTTGCTAACCAGTTAAAGCCGTTGCAGAAGAAAATATAATATTCATCTGCGATTTTCCATTTCAGAGAAAAGAATGAAAGAGTCAGAGTGATGTTTCCTGGTAGTTCCAGGACTTTGGATTTTGAACCAGTTAGTGTTTCGGTTTCCTAGATATTCTATCATCACTGCTTCGTATTACTTTCAGGTAGATTCTAGGAATATAACACCGGATTATTAAATTGACAAGGAAAGCTCTAAATTTCCTCTTCTCTTACCAGACCAAATCTAACTTAAGATATGGGCGTGAGGAAATTGTCAGAAATTAGATCAAACATTGTACTAAAATATTCTTTGTCCATTGACATTTGGACATAATAAGAGTGGGATTATGGTTGTATAGCTCACCACTATATTATTTAGATTTATATGAGCCGTGACATTAGGATTTGGGATTTGAGAAAGCAATCAATTTGTACACTTTGAATATTTGCAGTGTACATAAGCTATTGGCTGCCGTATGTCTGTTTCTGCCTTCCTATGAAAGGACAATTCTGCCCTATGTCATAATGGGTTTATTGGAAAAATACATCTTAATCTAAAGCCATTATTGAGTTATACAATAAGAGATCATTTTTTTCATCTTAATGTCACTTATCAAGATTATCATAATTTAAAATTTATTTTAAATTGCCTTTTTGAGAAAAAATATATATTAATTCTAACTTCTATCCAACCTATTTGTTTTTCTTTTTAAGAATTTTTATTCATATGTAAGGTAATGTAAATAAAGCCAAATCATTCAATTTCCAAAGAAGACAAAATCAAAAGTTCTACAATGGAGAAAAAGAGAAAGTAAATTGGTATATAAATATATTACTATATAATGCTTTTCACCCCTCAAGATTACTGTCCATTTGATTCTTTTTGTCAAGTTTACATACTCTTTTTGTCTTTGCATATAGGAGTGTGGACAATGCCCATCTTTTTGAGTATCTTCCCTTGAAATTGCGTCTTAAAATATTTAGATTTAGGATTTAATTTATTAATATATAATTAATTGGGAATTTGATGTCATGCACTTTGATTAAAATATGAATTGATGTTTGTTGTTCAATATCCATTTCGAGCAGCAGTTTTTGACAATATGCTTCTCCTCTTCCACAAGAGGGGGGAAAAAGGGTCATTAGCTAATGTCTTCTTGTCTGAGGAGCAAGCCTACTTTCACTTTTATGACAGCAGCAATCTGTTAAAACTGCAAATTGCGATTCAGTTTCTTCATGTTGAGGAGATTCAAAAACTATAGCCAAGAAAATAAAAATTGAAGGAGTATCAAATAATAACTCAACCTTAACACCCGAATATTTGACACAATAATTGATGCATGATCTTTCTTAAAAGTCAGGGATTGAATTTCCCCTTTTTTTAAGTAAAACAAATAGTGATTTGGCTTGAGGAAGGGTAATCATATGGACAAGTTTTTTTTTTTCTTCCGAGTAGAAGGTTGGACTGGCAAGATTTAACATTTTTTTTGAAGTAAAATATCAAATTCATTTAAATGCTACATGCATGTAACCTTGTATATTTACATGTCTTTTTCACACCAATAATGGATCTGACTAGACAATATTTTACTATTTAATGAAAGAGGAAATTTTTTAGGACAGTTTCCATGGGCCAAGTAAATTTGGGCTTTTCTTTTTCTTCAAAGGAGTTTTTTTTTTAGGCCCTAAAACCAATCCATTTAACTTTTATGGTATTTGTTCAAAAATTGTCTAAGCCTGACCCAAATGAAAAGCAATTGTAGTCCTGGACTCTCTGTAACTTGGGTTCCCGGTACCTAATACACGCTTTAACTTAAATCAATATTATTCATTTTTTAGATTATTTATGAAATTTTTTTTTTGTTTGACCAAAAAAAAAAAAAAAACCAAATTTGAACAAATTCTAGCGGTTAAAAATGGACTCTATTAAGATTTTCATTTATGAAAAAGACAAAGTTGGAGATTTAAGCAAAATTTATGTCGGACAACTGTAAGTAAACTGTAGTTACAAGTTACACGAAGAGGTTGGGGCAGCTGACAAAGTGATGATTATATTAAGCAAGCAGCTTAACTGATCAACTATGGAATCCAAATCCAACACCACCATAAATTGCATCGTCAAAGAGGAAAAAGTTTGATACTGTAAGCACAAGGTGATGACAGTTGACACCCACATTTTACATATCCACAGAACAAGAGAAAAGAAAAAAGAAAGAAAATCTGCTGTAACCAGTGTTCTGCCCTCACATCATGATAACTAGGAAGCTTCAAAATAGAGCCTACCGTGAGCCTCACAGCAAAAAGACTTGGCTTGGTCCCAGTAACCCAAGTATCTGTCCAAATAAGGGAAGAAAACTTGGTTAGAGAAAAATAGGGCGAAAGATGGAAAACATAGAAGAATCTATGCAATTTTGGCAAAAATATATTTAGCATGCCTCATGGTGTTCTATTTCTGTGGCTTCTTCCACAAGACCCCAATCTTCTTTAGCATGTTCACGTTCTTCTTCTTCAGCAAATCATCATCCATATCTTCTGTATAAGGTGAGCTAACCTTTCCGGTAACTGGATTATAATTGCTATCCAGTGAACCAGTTCTCTCGATGAACTTCCCATTATTACCTGCTGAAAGCATTGCAGCAGCTGCTTCTGCAGCCTTGCGCCACTGGTCAGATTGCACCTTTAATCTTCTCAACTCTGCCTCCATTTCAGAGTTGACAGTCTGTGCAGCCTCCAGCTGTTCAGAGACCCTGGCAGCTCTCCTGTTATTTTTATCTGCCTCCTCTATTGCAAGCCCAAGCTTCATAATAGCTTCTCGCTCTGCAGCCCTTGCTACCTCTAGCTCAGCAGCAGCCTTATCATTTGATTTACCTTTGTCCATATCCCTTTTACTGACTTCCAACCTGAGCATCTCATTCTCCTCTACTATATTTTGAAGTTCTGTCTCCTTATCCATCATATTTGCCTTCAGATCAACAACAGCTTCCTTCAATACCTTTAGCTCATTTTCAAGTTCTGATTCTCGCTGGCATGACAGATTTTTTCCAAGCTTCATGTGTAGCTCTTCATTTTCCTCTGAAATACCCTGCAGCTCAGTTTCCTTATCCATCAGATTTGCTTTCAAGTCAGTAATATCAAAGTTTGCTTTCTCTAGTTCAGCTAACAGCTCAGCCTCTCTCGAGCTTGCTTCAGATTTTATCTTCTCCACCAGTTCATGAGCACTCTTTATCTGTACAGTGCTTTGGATTTGTACGTCATGGCATTTAATCTCAGCGGTTTCAAGAGCAGACCTTAACCATGCCACCTCAGACTTCAAAGAAGAAATCTCTGCTTCAAGCTGGTGAGATTCCTCAGGTTTCTTGCTTTCTTCAGCTTGATGCTCAACAACAACACGATCACCATCAGACTCGAGAGAGAGGCTGCCACCAGCATCAAGCAGGTCTGCCTTAAGTTTGTTAACAAGTCCTTCCAGTGAATAAACACGTTCCCTTGACCGGTCTAAGTCTGAAGCAATGGAGTTGTAAACTTCAATGGCCTTCATGCCTTCCGACCTAAGTGCCTCAACAGTCTTTTTTGCAGCTTCTAGTTGTAGCAGAGTTTCACTAGCCAAAGCTTGGGCCTGAGTTTCCGATTCTTGGCTATCCTTTAGCTGGTTTTTCATGTTCGCTACAAGAGAAAGAGTTTCAACCAGGTTTACTTTCAAGCTCTGGAGCTCCAAATGTGCTGATTCTGCTTGCTTGGTCTGTGCAGCCTCAGATTCAGCCAATATTTCTAGCTGATCCTTAAGTCGCTGAATCTCATTCACAGCTGAGGCCAGAGCAGCTGAGTCGAGAGACTGCTGCTTCTGGATAGCTTCAAGCTCTGACTGCGATGCTTGATCCCGTTCTTGCGATATCTTGTGGAACTCAACAACACGAGCTTCCTCAGAACCAGACAGCTCAAGAAGCTGCTTTTGAGACTCTTTGAGCTTCGCAGACACGTCCAACAGTTGTTTCTTGGACTCCTCGGTATCTTGCTGGGCTTGCTTCTTGCATGATTCAGATGAACTTAGCTGATCCTTTGCCTTCTTTAGTTCTTCTTGAAGCTGTGAAATCTGTACCTCCAATTCAGATATTCTGCTTGGGCGCTTCTTCTGAAGCAAGAAAAAAGGATAAGTTTAAATATTCTCGTAGGAATCAAAAAGCCATCATTCTAAGTGCTAAACTCTACTTCTAATTAAAAACGGCAATGTTTATGGGAGGCTAATGTGTCTGCATCAACAAGCAAATTGGAAAGAATCACTCTAAAAGAATTAAAAATCTCTTTTCTAACTACCAAAATTAATTGCTTCACCCAATCATACCATCACCATAACAAAGGCTTAGAAAATGAATTGAATGCAAGATCTCAATGAACAAAGCAAACCATTAGTTTTTACTGAAAATGGGTCACAATTTAAAGGTAGAAAAGAAGCCCAGCACCATTCATGAGATCAAGAAGTTGCCTATAGGCATGCTTCTAGAAAAAAGAGGAAAATGGTTGTATAAATACTAAGTTGGAACAGGCATCTAGATAGACTTTGTGGCCCTGTATGAAGCCTTTAACACTCAAAAGGCCTTAATAATTGGATTTTTATGCAATTATCAACAAAGCCATATTTTGTATAATGATCTCTACTTTGTATACCTCAGAGATTGGGCTTCTAGGTGAACGGCGCTCAACAACTTTAGGGCTTTTCTCTTTTGAAGTTCTACTAGCTGGATTTGAAGTAGATACAGCTTCAGTCTCTAGTGTAGTTGGCTTGAGTTGACGAACAGCTCGAGGAGAGACCCTTCGTGGCACTTCCGAAGATCCATTTCTGCTAAACATTAGTTAATCAATAATTTGGTACTGATGAAAAGAGCATGTTAAAATCAAAAACCTCAAGAAGACATTTCATCTTCCTCCAGTTTAGGAAAGATAACCGACAGTTATCACCTGAAATTTCATAAGAGCTCTACATGCTTGTATATTAATCTAGCTTAGCAAATGGTTAAGGTCCTAAATTTCTAACCACCAGGTGGCTGGACCAACCAAACCAACATTTGTGACAAACTTAAAACTTTTAGAGAACATCATTTCCTTATCCTTTCGGGCAGGCAAATTTTTGAATATAAGTAGTCAGAAATGAAAGACCAGCTTTCTGATATAAGATTAAAGAGTGTTTTTTCTGATAAAAAGGGGTAAGAATTTTTCTTTTTTTTCCCTTTGACAGCAAAATGTTACTTCACATTAAACATAAAAGTGAGATACATTCTACTAGAGTCCAAGTCAAAGGATACAAGAACAAGAACAATCCCTTAGTTAGACCACCCAATGTTTGATTAATCTAATCGTCCATGGAGTAGTTATGAACCATTTAAGAACTAAAACCAATTGATTATGAATGACCAAACAGTTAAAATTTAGCCATGAGCCCGAGAGAATGTAGCCACACAACAATTTTCTAGAAGGTAAAAATCAAATCCTAAATCACCTAAATTTTTTAAAACTATAGTTCGTCCTAGTTCTATCCTTGTCCAATTTTTGAATAATATATCTTTTGCTCACAAATGTCCTAAATCTGAACAAAACTACTAAAGCTTTAAATTCTACACTATCATGTTTCTTGTGAAATAAGCTGATTACTGAGAGTATACTAACCATAGGAACAAATCAGGCAATGGCCTCAAACAGATGATAAACCACAAATAAAGTTTTGTTTTGGAAGGATGAAGTGCCTCACTTACAGCATCTGGTGGTCCCATTAAGGGCATTGGCTTTTCCTATCCTTAAGGTAGGAGACAGACAAAATTTACTTCCATGCAGAAAGAGACTGCAGCTCAAAATGGTTAACAGACAATATGGCCCTCAATTGTAGCTACAGTGTGGAACTCCTATAATTTATTTATCAGTGCAATACAAATTAACCAAAGAAGACAACCCCAGTGCCAAAATATAAAAGGTAAAATTAAAGATAAAAATTGGGAAGAAAGAAATTCCAACAAAGATCTTCACTGTGCCCTTTAGGCATTGTTTAAAACCCAGACAACCCAGATGATCATATATGGCAACAAATAATTAGGTTTGACAACCTAAGACTAGTTGGAAACATTACACCTATGCATTACTTTTAAATGACAGAACTACCAATTAAGCTCATTTTTCAATAATAAATACATAAATGGATCCAGGAAAGAACCTAAGAAACCTCTAATAAGGGAAGAATGAGCAGTCATAAAGGCAATAGAAGTTACCTTGCTTTTGGAGTCTGCATAATTTAAAGACCCCTGTCAGAAAGTTAAAAACAAGTTTAAGTTTATTTATCCTCCACCACTTCAATGCTTCCCAGACCCACAAGGCCTGCAACAGATCAGAAAAAAAATATATCACAAGCTGAGACAGAAGAATCCAATGTGAATGTGCGTGAAAAAATTTAATGAGCTCATATGAAAGACAGATACTTCTCTATCATCACATTGAAGCAATAAAGGCAAAAGACCAACCAAAGAATCAAAGCAATCGTAAAAGAATATCTCCAAGAACAGGTCAAAGCAGAAGCTATCCACTAATGACTAATTAACCAGAAAGTAAGAGCAACTCTTCATCTTTACTCCATTCAATGCTCCAACAAATTCTACCTTGGTTCATGGTCAATCGGACATTATTATATTCACAAGGGTCCTACGGCTACAGTGACAACAGACAAATTTCCATAAAGTACCCTTTTTCATGTTTTCCTAACTCACTGCATTTCAACACTAAAAAGGGGCATTATTGTAATCTAGGAAGTGAACTTTCCTCCTCCATTGTTGCCTTGAAATGAGGACACTAAAAAGGTAAGAACAGAACTTGGGGGTTCAAAATTTAGAACAGGAAATAATGATTTCAAATGCCGCTCAAACCTTTGTTTATCTTGGGCCAAAAACACAAATATTAAGTATTAACCCGTTTGTTTCTCAGGAAAATATTTTCTGGGAAAACTCTTTCAGCAAAAGAAAAGGGGAAACAAGTTTTGAAGATAAAAGCATCAGCATTCAGACTGTTCAAAGCACCCTCAAAACAAGATATACTGCAGCTTATAAAGCAAAGAAAAGATTACTCATTTTTCTATAAAAAAAAAGACTGAAGAAACCGAAAAGAAAACCTTTTTGAGATTCGATTTCCTTTATAAAATCCGATTAAAGGAATCGAATAAAGTCTGCCAGGCAGTCTGGCATTACAAAGCCCCTGAATTGAACACAGAGCTAAGTTATTATCGACTTAGAAAAGAAACCCTTTTTTTCATCAGTTCCAGAGGGACAAAAGAAGTTCAAAAGTAACATCATTACCCTAAAGAACAGAAAAAACACAACAACACAAACAAAACCCTCACTTGAAACATACAATGGAAAATTTTGTCTTTTTATTTACAGCATTTTCTTGGGAATCCCAAAGAACAGAACAGAACAGAACAAAGCAAAAGCATAGTGTAAAATAAAGTCAACTTACCAAGTGAAGTAAATACACAACTACTACAACTACAAGCAAAGGAATTAAGGAAATGAGAAAAGTTTAAAGCGTTGTTAGAAAATGTAGTGCTTTTGTTGAGGTAAAAGGCAAAGAAGAAAACATGGGGTGAGAAGCCGACAATGGAAGTCGTGGAGAGGCTGTATTCTTTTCTTCCTTGGGTTAGTAGAGTGTTGGTCTTCTTTGCTACAGATGTTATGGTCTATGGTTTTGTTTTGTAGCTGGTAGTAGTTTCTTTTGCACAGTGGGGAAAAGAAGATGTATCCATAAACAAAAGAGAAAATTGGAGAGAACAGAGTGTGTACTGATTTGTCGTTTCACCCTGTCTGGAGCTGGAAGATATTTTTACTCTGTGAATTGGATAAAATTTACTTGAATTTTATTATTATTATTGCAATTTTTTTGCCTCAAACTTGAAAACTTTTGACACTGACTCTTCTCTATCCCCTTTCAGTGTTTCCAATTTCTCTTTTTCAAGAATGTATAGTACTTACAGAAGCGTGTGGACAACTGCCCCTAGTCTACTTTAATTTGAAAACTTTTTCTTGCAATTATATTATTCTATGTTGCTCATTTTATTTTTTTATAATTACCTACATTTAGATATAAATAATTAATATGATACAAATTTAAAACATAGGTGATAATATTTTAATTTTGCTAATAAAATCTAATAATTTTTTTTAGGTTTTGAAAATTTAAATCTGATTAATTTTTAAATTAAAACAAGATGTGTCATATTTAATAATATAAAATAAATAATTATAAGTCGTGTATTCGATATAATCTCAATAAATAATCATTAATAAAATTTAAATTTAAAATTTTTTTATAAAAAAAATAAATCTAATCGATTAAATCAACCACTTAATAATAAAATCTAATAATTATTACTACTATCTTATTTGCCAGGTTTTGAAAAAAAAAAAAAATCATAAATCAAAACCTTTAACAAACTTTTATATAATGCTTCGGAGTTTGGAATTAATGGACCTTTTATGGAGTGGGCTTCCTAAATTAATTGGCCTTCAAAAGTTTTTACTTATGTATTTTTGTTTTTGTGAGCCTTCAAGTTCATAGGGAGGATTGCATTCCAGTTTTGGACTGTTGTAATTGGGCTGGCCTGTCTCAGTTCATCTCCTGAAAAAGGCCACACCTTTTTAGCAATGAAAATTCAAGACAAGAAATAGAATTTCGAATCCCTTTGATACCGTGCCGTGGTAGAAATCCTTTTCACTTTTTATCCGTTGGAGTTGTGATTTATGATTAAATTTTTAATAATTAAAATATAATCAAACAATTAAATCCCCGTATGATAAGATTTAAATTTAAAACTTTAAAGTTCTAAAGGTTTTTCATCGTCACTAAACCAAATCCTCAACCACCAACCTAACAAATACTTACTTCTTAATATAGAAAGTAAACAATGACTTTTCTTCGGATGAGATCATAAAAAAAAATGTAAACAATAATTTTATGAGTTTTTTTTTTGTTTATTTGTTTATAACATATGATTTCAAAAATGAAAATGTAAATATAAATTTATTCATGCATATAATCAAATTTGAGCTTGACTTTAGACATTACTTTTTTAAACTCGAACTTGATTCAATTTAATTTGAATTATTATATAATTAATAAAAAATATTTTTAATTTAAAATTTTTGAACCTCCCAAATTTGTTACATTAAATTAGATCGAGTCTTAAGCAAGATTTTTAGATGTTCAACCTAATTCGACATGATCCATGTATAGGCAAGTATATTGCAAGTTTCATGTCTTTGCTTTGGTTGTATAGGTCCAAATAAATTTAAATGTAATGTTTGGTTAATGTTGTAAATAGGACAACATTAGCTAAGATACAAGGAAAGAATATTGATCTTTTTAGACATGCATTATGATATCTTTTGATCCGTGGACCTCTGTGACTTATGAGATTCTTATCTTTATACAAAGGTGCATGATTTAGAGGTGATGTTGATTTTATTTTATACAGATTATGTGATGGCGACGAGGCATTGATCTCAATAACATATACGAAGGAGTTTATGAAATTCCTAGATTTAAAGTTCAAGTCTCCTCTCCTATGGAGTTTGTCTAATTTCTCATTGAATTTTGCTTAATTATATGTTGATTTTTTGTTTAATTTTTTATATTATTATATGAATATGAATTTATTTAAATAATTAAAATATCCATAAGAGTTATTCAAATTGGTTAAAAATGAGTTTTTAATTTTAATTAATTTAGGTTTGATTATTATTATGAAGAATATTAAAAAAATAAAATTTTAAATTCATTAAATTGATATAAAAAATATATTTCACAATAATAAAAAAAAATTAAATTTGTAATCATACTTTTTAAATACAATTTTTTTTCCTAACTTTTTTTTAATTCCAATGACAATGTTAAACCGACAATCTTCTCTATTGAAAAAAAAAAAAAAAAAAAGGGAAAGAGCCAAGAAAAAACTGTGAGAAGCTCCTGCCGCGTCCTGCAGCGCCTTTACTTTAGGTAGAGCAACTGAGCAAGCGACAGGCAAAATAAACCGACCTTTGACCAACGGCAAGCAAAAGTGTTAAAAGGAGTATAACACCGACAGGACAGGTTTGTCGGGTAGGTTAGGAATGGGGTCCGCTATCGGTGTTCATTGATTCCAATCCTGACGTTTTGATTTGTTCGTCATATCAACTTTTTCCTTGGCTCTCCTTAGACAACCGCGGTTTCAGATACACCCCTGTCCGAATCTTAACCGTCCAAACTGCCACAAGAGTCAGGCTACCCTCCTTTACAAACTTTTTCTTTCATACTTCAAGGTAACCGCCCAAATCGCACCAAATAGAAATTGCTGTTTTCAATCTCTAACTTTTTAACTTTTTTCTTTTTAATAAAACTGGGCTAATTTGTATGATTTGATGATAGAAATGGCTAAGTATCCGTTTTAAATAATAGGAAAGGTCCACCATAACTTAATTATAAAATTATAAAAATTTAAAATTTAACAGATATAAAAAATATTATTTAATTAAATTAAAAATAAAAAAAATTACTTATATTAATGTAATTTTTAATTTTTTTGAATTTTTGAATCAAAATTATTAAATTTAAAATATTATTTTAATTCAAATAACTAATAAATTTAATTTTGATTTAAAATTTTTTTTAAAAAATAAGAATTATACTAATATAAGTAAATTTCTACTCTAAAAATAATATGCATAAAAAATTATCTAATACATCATTATTGGGGTTTTTGAACTTCCAAATAAAAGAATGTCAAAAAGTTAGAATTATTATGATAAAATAGAACATGAGATAATATTCTAATAAATCTAGTTAAAAATATAGTTTTTTTTTATAAAATACTATCAAATTAAAATTATTTTCCTATTGGAAAAAAATTTTAGATTCAGACATAATGTTTAGAGAAAAAAAATTGTTGGGCATCCTTTGATTCAAGTCAAAACACAGGAGTATACAGTTTTCTTCTTCTAAGTAAGATATTAAAAAACAGAGCAGATAAGATTGATTAATGTTGTGCATGCTGAATAAATTAAGATGGATGGGAATGGGAAGCAGCATGGAATGAGGTCCACAAGACTTGGATAAAGTTGGGCTTCCCATCACTTGGCCATCTCTTTTTTCAATTCCTTTATTTTCTTCTTTTCTAATTAATTATTGAGTTATTAAATCATTACTTTTTTTTTTAATCCAGATATGAAGGAGCAGCTACAGCCTGCAGGGCAGAGTCAAAAAACAATTTTATTTTAAAAAATTTTCTTTTAATAGTATTTTTTTTTTATCCAGCTATGGAAGACAGACACAACAGGACAGAATCTTAAAGCCATATTTCTTGGGGATTATACTTTAGCTAACCCTTACTTATACAACTGCTCCCTCTAATTCCAGCTAATTCGAATATGCATGATAACAAAATATATAAATATATTTTTACACTCGCTAATTGTCATTGTTGGGCAATGGATTCTATTACTGAGGCAACAATGGCATGCAAGATGAATTTATCTTGCCTTTGCCATAATGCATATGCAGAGTTCAGTGTTTGTGTAGTTTTCTTAAGTGATCATTGCTTCTGGACAAGGAGTTTTACCTGTCAGATAGCCAATAAAATCATAGCCTGCAAGAAGATAATTGAGTTGAATCTGCCAAGGGGGAAATTCATAGAATTCAGTTTCAAAGGCAGCTGAGCTGCAACATTAATTGATATAAGAACAGAGGTGGTAGTCTGGTTTGTAAGGGTGATTATGGATGAATTGCTTTCAGCTGCCATTGGTGAGAACATGGTCGAGATGCTGTTAAGCTCGGAGCTCTGATACCATAAAAGGATTTAACCAATTTGTGCAATGTGAGAGCCTGTAAAAAGTTGTAAAGTCTATGATTTGATTTACAAAGGATCAGGGATTTGATATTTCGAGTTAATAAAGGTCAATGCAGGTGATGCAGGTTGACTTGCATGAATTATGCATGTTAACTTTGATATCTCTAATCATTAGGGTTGGCATCGGGTCGGGTTCGGGGCGGGTTTTGCTCGCCCCGAACCCGACCCGACTTTATCATCAATAAATCCGACCCCCGATCTGACCCGAAATTTTTTTATTTTTTCATACCCGACCCCGATATTATATAATCCGTACCCGATCCGAAATTAATAAAAATATTATTTTTTAAATATAAATATTTAAAAATATTATTATATAAATATATATAATTAATTAAAAAATAATTTTTTAAATAATATCGGGTCGGGTAGGGTCGGGTATGCCTAAAACCCAACCTCGACCCGACCCCGATTATTTCCTAACATTATCCGATCTGACCTGACCCGAAACCCAAAATTCAAAAAAAAAAAACCCGACCTCATAAGGTCGGGTCGAGTCGAAACCCACCGGGGTCGGGTTGAATTCCCATCCCTACTAATCATGAGTGATTGCGGGCATTGATGCATGATATCTTGAGATTGATGCTTAATTTCCTTAATAATACTCTGGGTGATGGCATTGGCACTGACAGGGATATGTGAAGAGCAAAATTGAGGTAAGGTTATCTGCCTAAACACCCTTTCTTGGCCTTACGTTTTGCAGATATCTGCAACTGCTCCTAAAAGGACTTGTTAGTATTTTTTTCTTTTTTTTTTTAACGTTTTTGCCAGCAGTTTTAGCTATTTTTCAATTACAATCGTCCACCACAATGCACATGCCAGAAAAGCCTTGAATTCAAATTAATTACCACTAATAGTCAAAGCAACATGAGAGAGAAATTGAGCCGAACCAAACCTTTCAAGTTTCAAAACATCAGTTGCTTCACTATTCATGACCTAGAGCTCACATGGGAATGATAACTTCTCATCATTCCTCGAGCAATTTCCTGGCAACTGCAATATTAATAAGTAATCAGTAGCTTCACTCAAACTACATAACAAGTTGACAACTCAATAAACTCCAAAGTTAAGCAATCAATCTTTTATTATTCAAAAAATATAATATTATATAAGAAATCTAAGGGTGTTCTTGCCATTTCATAAAATAAGACACGTGTCAAAAACCCAAAGCGAGTACCAATCCTATATATATACATGATAAAAACACCTGTCTCTAACAACTCCATAATATATCATTACATCAACTTGTAAGCAGCTCCTCTGAGTAGAGAAAAAAACCCAACTACAAAATAAAACTGTAAAAGAAACTGATTACACTACCAGAGAGATTAAAAAAAAAAAAAACCCAGAAAAATGAGAGCCAGCAACCATTTGATAGGATTACTAAACTTCTTAACTTTTTTGTTGTCAATAGTAATCTTGGGTGGTGGAATATGGCTAAGCAGCAGAGCCAACAGCACAGATTGTCTCAAGTTCTTACAGTGGCCATTGATCGTCATAGGAGCCTCAATCATGGTCGTTTCCTTAGCAGGTTTCGCGGGCGCGTGTTACAGAAACACGTTCCTGATGTGGCTTTACCTCTTTGTAATGTTCTTCATCATTGCTGCGCTCATCGGGTTCATAATCTTTGCCTATGCTGTGACCGATAAAGGGTCAAAACGGCCGGTGATGAACAAAGGTTACTCGGAGTATTACTTGCAGGACTACTCAGGCTGGCTCAAAGATCGAGTAGTGGATGAGAAGTATTGGGCAAAGATTAGCTCTTGTATCAGGGATTCTAAAGTTTGTAGCAAGATGGGAAGAACTTATAATGGTGTTCCTGAAACTTATGACATGTTTTCTATGAGGAAGCTCAACCCTATTCAGGTATGCAATTTTTCAAACTTTTATTACTACATGGTTTTGATATTTACTCATATATTTCAAATCTAATAACAACAAAACAATTTTCCCCCTTTTTTTTCTATTTTTTCTTAATTTTTTCCCTTAATTAAAAGATTTTTCAACTTTGTAAGCGATGTGATCTGAATTCATTTAAAAAATTTGAATTTTGAAGAACTTAATTAAATGTTTAATTATGTTACTAATCCATATAGCAAAAAAGTTAAATTAAATCAGTTCATGCAATTTTTAATATATAATAAATAATCTCAACAATCATTCCCAATAAATATATAATAAATTTAAAATTTAAATTTCAACCTTTGTAATTTTAAATTTTATTTTAAATTATAACATCTTTTAGTTAAACAAAAATTCATTTTAAGCAAAATTATTTTGGTGGACCTTATAAGATAAATTTAGAAATTTTTATGTTGTCTAAACCTTTCATGTTTTCTTTCTAATAATGGCTCGAAAAAAGAGTTCATGGTTTTATATTTTTACAAAAGGGGATAGTTCTTTCTGGATTGAGTAGTTTGATCCAAAGTAGATCCATTTTAATCTGTAATTTTTGTTAATGGAAGAAACCAAGGCATGTGAGCCTGAGGGGCCAAGCCCAGCTGAATTCAGGCCCCGTCTATTGCGGTTCATTGGCCTCATAAAATTTTTTTAATTAAATATATATTTTTTTTCCAATTTGATAGGTTTCATAAAAAATCGTATCCTAAACAACTTTCAATTATTTCAATGTTTCTCATTAAAATTAAAAAGTAGTAGCAGTAACTTTTTTATTATTATTATTTAAAAATCCACTGTTCCAACAAACACCGAAAATTTTTTTCCTATTTTTGTAATGATATAAAATTGAATAGAACCCCAATGGACGGTGGCTTCAGTTGGCAATGGTGCTTAACCCAATAATTGTGTCTGTCTCACCCTTCATCTCACTCTCACAATGGGAAGTGGGAACAATCTCATTTTTATTTATTTTTCTAAAAATCCAGCAGAATTTTATTTTAATTTGAAAAATATGAAAACGTCCCAAAACGTTGTCGGTTCCCTCTTTATATCAGGATATAAATTAATTAATCATAATAATAATACTAAACTTTATTATTGGAGCTTTTGATTCAATAATAAAATATAATATTTAATAAATTTAAAATTTAAATTTTATCATTTACAACTCATTCTCCTAGACTGCACCATCTTTTGAATATAAAAAAAAATGCATCTGTTACTCTAAAAATTGGATTTTAATCTCTTTCTCAAATTAAAAAATAATTACTTTGTAAATCTTTTTTTTTTATATATAAAAGATATCATAATTTGATGATAAGAAAATAAATTATAGGGGTTAGTATTTGAATTCAAAATTATCGAATTTCATTTATTAAAAATAATTATATGAATTAATTGGGCTGAAGTTTAAATTTTTTAACTATTAATTTTTATATAAAATTTAACCAATATACCACAAGACTAGAATATTTTTTTTCCTATGAATAAAGTAGCAATGGTTGTCTTATTTGCCTTTTAACCATAGGTGCCAAATAATTAAAGACAGAATGTTCTGTTTGGGGTTAGCTCATATTGCTTTATCCATACCTTGATTTGTTTTTTGTTGGTTCATCACTTTTTTTTTTAATTTTATTTTGTATGCTCCCTACCTAAAAAAGAGAAAAAAGACGAAAGAAAAGATGGAATTCTATGATATTTATCTTAAAAGATTTTGGAATCTTAAATTTCTTCATTTTCTTTTTCTTGGGTGCCAACCCCACCCCCTTGACTTATTTGCTGAATGCTTTTAGTTGATGTACCGAAGTTTATGGAATGATTCCCGCTATAATGATCCTTCATTGTTCGCATGCTCACAATTTTTTTGTGGAGTTTTTTTTTTTTTTAAAATAATATTTTAATTAATAATTATTTTTGTTGGCCAATAAAAAAATTAATAATTATTGATTAAAACAAAATATTTGATTCAAGAAAAATAATTGCCTTTCACTGAAACATAGAGTTTGTGAAAATACTAGTAGTAAATATAGTAATTATTTTCATAATAATACTCTTCAATATATTAAAAAAATATTTTAATTGAAATAGTAAATCGTGAAGAGAAGAATGACAGCGGGAGGGATAGGTGGAAACATAAGTAAAATCAATGCTTTCAGTGGGTTTTCTTCTGGTTTTGGTTTTTGGCAGAGTTAGGTGGGAAGGTCCCTTTAAATGCTGTTGGAATATCATTTATTGAATGGACAGCAACACACCATGCTTATCAAGTTTAATTAATGGTGGGTTGCCAACTAATTGGACCCACTTGGTTTGGTAGCTATTGCTATTTGCTAATGTTTGTGAGGAATTATTGTTGCCAACTAGAATTCCAAGTTCTTGTTATCAATTAAAAGAACAAAAAGGACAATCAAATTTGTTACTAATAATAAGGAAATTGAAATATATCGAGAAATTTTAATCTTATTATTAATTTTTGTTAATTAAGTACAAAGTATCCCAAGGGTTTATATAATTTGCAAGTTACTAGCAAGTCCTCAGTTCTTTAACCTGGTAGCTAAGGAGTTCTTAGAAGGAGATGGTTTCGAACCAAGGCTCCTTCCCCCGTAGCTATGCCCATCATATTAACCAAAGAAAAAGTTACGAGCAATGTACAGAAGAATGTCCCATAAGTAACTAATGAGAAGGTGGCCAAAAAAAAAAAAATCAGTGACAGCAAAACTTCTGAATTTGTCTTTGTAGTCTGGTTGCTGCAAGCCCCCTACAGACTGTGGCTTTGTCTATGTCAACGAGACGCAATGGGACCAAGGAGGGGCAGCCGGAACTGACTCCGACTGCTCTAGATGGAGCAATGACCAACAGCTGCTGTGCTATCAATGTGATTCCTGCAAGGCTGGTGTGCTTGGCAGCCTCAAGAAGAGCTGGGGGAAGGTCTCGGTGATCAACATAGTTGTGCTGATCCTCCTAGTGATCTTTTATGTCATCGGCTGTGCTGCTTTCAGAAACAATAAGAGGATTGATAATGATGAACCTTACGGAGAGGCAAGGATGACAAAAGCACAACCAAGTAGGATTCAGCTATAGAAAGATACCAAGAACATTTTAGACATAAATGGAAGCTGTACTTTATTTTGGAGAATGTATGTTTTAGGTTTTGTATACCATTTTAGGGCTGGTTTGTGTGAGACAAGTGAACTTGAATTTGGTTTGATTTTTAACAGTTGTTTTTGTATATGTTGGCTTTCATGGTGGCTTTAACAGTACTTTTTGTATAGCAGAAAGAATCTGAAATCTTCAAAACCTACTCTCATGGAAACAACTTTCCTAGGATGTTGTGAACAAGATATTGCAGATTAGCTGAATGCTAAAATAAATCTCAATTCACTTACTATTAGTGAAAGAACAGAGACTACTTTCAACTTTAAATTCTGTTAATTTCAATTACAAGATCACTAATAATCAATTCTTAGGTACGAGTAAAAGTGCTTCTAGAACTTTGTCAATGAAAACAAAGATGCATGCCCTCAGAAATATTGCAGAAACCAACGAGAAAATTTGTCAACTGCATATGGATACTTTTTCTTGGAAAGCGGCCATCGATGAGAGTAGGCGTTGGGAACAGAAACCATGCACCTCAAACAACAAACAACAGACATAAATTTAAGTATGTAACATGTACATCAAGATTACCAACCTTTGTTATAATTCTTTCTTATTTAATTAATGTTCTCTTTAACAAGAAATGATAGATTAACAGGTTTCTACGCAGAGCCGGAAACCCATCTTAGATACCGAACTTGGCAGCTACTAAAACAGTTGGCAAAGAAGGTTTCCTTATCGTGGTTATGCCTTGGTGATTTTAATGAAATTCTTAGGGATGCAGAGAAGGTAGGAGGATGCATGAGGGCTGAAGGATTGATGGAAGCATTTCACAGGACCTTGGATGAAACAGGGCTAGAAGATCTCGGTTTTTAGGGGGTTTGATATACTTGGGAACGGGGGAAGGATGAACAGTCAATAATACGAGAACGACTTGATCGAGGGCTGGGAGATAGGCAGTGGACAAGGCTTTTTCCTGGGTACACAGTGATTAATTTGGTAAGCCCAATATCGGACCATAATCCGATATTAGTGGACATTGAGGGAGGAAAAAAGAATAGGAATGGCTCACGGAGGAAGAAACGCTTCCATTTTGAAGCGTCCTGGTCAAGAGATAAAGAACGTGGCCGCATCATCCAATAATGCATAGAGGAATGTAGGGAGGGGAGTTTTAGCGAGAAGTTGGAATGCATGAGGAAAAGTCTTGAGAGCTGGGATAGATCCACGAATAGAGCGCCTCGCACTGTGGAGATTTTATTACAGAGGTATGAGAATATTATGGGCAAAACACCAAATGAAGAAACGCTAAGGGAGTCGCGGCCCATGCAAGAAGAGCTAAATGAAGCCGTAGAACAAGAGAAAGAGTACTGGGCCCAGCGGTCGAGGATTTTATGGCTCAAAGAAAGTGACAAAAATACCAGTTTCTTCCACTCACAAGCCTCAGCCAGAAGAAGGATCAACACAATCAGTGGACTTGAAGATGAAGGAGGCATATGATGTGAGGATGAGACCCAAATAAAAGAAATTGCCATGCAATATTTTAAGACCCTGTTCATGACAAGCAGACCAACAAATTTTGGAAGACATCATTGAAGCAGTTGATGGTAGTGTCACGGTGGGGATGAATGAGGCACTTATCTCTGAATTCAAGGAAGAAGAGATCTATGATGCTGTGAGGATGATGCACCCAACAAAAGCCCCGGGGCCGGATGGCATGCCTGCAATTTTCGATCAGAAATACTGGAATATTGTAGGTCAGGATGTTGTTACATTGTGTTTAGCACTTTTGAATGGGGGAAGGAATATTGGTGAGATCAATAACACCAATATCATTCTTATTCCTAAAATGAAATCCCCAAGGAAAATCACTAGCTGCAGACCTATTAGTTTATGTAATGTGGTGTATAAAATTATAGCAAAAACAATGGCCAATAGACTCAAGAAAGTTCTGCCTTATTGTGTTAGTGAAAACCAAAGCGCCTTTGTGCCTAGAAGATTGATTACTGATAATGCACTTATAGTAAACAGACTCTTACACAAACTTAGGCACAAATGGTCGGGGAGAGAGAGATTTGTGGCCCTCAAACTAGATACGAGTTAAGGCGTATGATAGAGTCGAATGGATATTTCTTGATACCATAATGAGGAAGTTGGGTTTTCATGACCAGTGGGTGTCTCTTGTAATGAAATGCGTTTCCACGGTCTCTTACTCTATATTTGTGAATGGTGAAATCACAGACAAGTTCTATCCTGAGAGAGGCCTACGGCTAGGCGACCCTCTGTCACCATATCTATTTCTGCGATGTGTGGAGGGACTTTCAGCAATGCTGATTGAACGCCAAAAGGAAGGACTGATTAATGGGGTGTATGCCAGTAAGAACGGGCCCAGAATCAACCAACTATTCTTCGCAGATGACAGCCTTTTATTTATAAAAGCGAATCAGGCCGAATGCGAACGGTTGAGGATCTTGTTACAGAGGTATGAAAATGGTTCAGGCCAACAGGGTAACCTAGAAAAATCCTTGCCATATTTCACCAGTAATACTGGCGAGGCGAGGTGGGAGGACATCAAACAGAGGCTTGGGATCCAGGTCACAAGCAGGCCGGAAAAATATTTGGGATTACCAACACTGGTGGGTAGAAACAAGAAGAAAGCTTTCAGAGATATTAAGAACAAGATTCGATCAAAGATAGGTACATGGAGCAGCCGCATGTTATCATATGGGGGGAAGGAAATTTTCATCAAGGCAATTCTTCAAGCTATCGCATCATATGCAATGTGATGTTTTTTGTTCCCAAAAAGCTTTTGCCAAGAAGCTAATAGCTTGATCAGCAATTATTGGTGGAGGTCTAATAAGGAGGGGAAGGGATTGCATTGGATGGAATGGGGAGAGATGTGCCGTCGCAAGGGTGTAGGAGGGATGGGCTTCAAAATTTTGAATTATTCAATCGAGCCCTCCTAGCCAAACAAGCATGGAGATTGCAAATGAACAATGAATCTTTGGTATGCAAGGTTGTAAGTGCAAAGTATTTTCCAAACAAGTCCTACTTGGAAGCTACAATTGGCCACTGGCCGTCCTTCATGTGAAAAAGTATATGGTCAGTCCAAGAGATATTGAGAGCTGGATTGCGATGGAGGGTAGGGGATGGGAGGAAGATTAGAGTGTGGGAAGACAAATGGCTGCCTCTGAACAGGACTGTCAATCCAAGAAACGACACCAATAGCCTAGATGACAGAGTAGTACTGGTTGCTGACTTAATTGATCACGGCACAAGGGAGTGGAAGAAAGATGTCATCTATAGAACTTTCACTGGGGAGGAAGCTAAACTGATATGCGCTACTCCATTAAGCAGCGGCCAACATGAGGACATTTTAAAATGGAGTTTGAAGGAAAATGGATCATTTACGGTCAGGAGCGCCGATCGATATTTATGCACAGAAACCGGGGGGGGGGGGGGGGGCAGGAAATCAAGGGGAAGATTCATGCAGGGGAAGGGAAAAACGTTTCTGGAAAAAACTGTGGAAGACAAAAATTCCAAGCAAGGTCCAGATTTTTGGCTGGAAACTGAATAATGGTTTCCTACCAGTTTTCAACAACCTACGAAAAAGACACATAGATGTTCACCGGTGTGTGTGAGATGTGGGAAAGATGATGAAACGATTACTCACGCAGTATGGACGTGTGAGCATGCCAGGTGTCATGATTCTAGAGAGAAATTATGAATCTCACATCGACTGTGTACTAAAATTGATATTGAGATATAAGAGTTCACACCCCTTTAACTTGTGAGGTGTTTTTTGCAAAACAAAATTGTAAGATCAACGAGTCAAAACGGATAATATCTCACAAGTTAGTGTAGATCGTGTCATTTAATATCAAAGCTGACTCTGAGGTACTAGATGTGCCACTCCATTAGAGTGAAAAAAGATCTCATGATCCTAAAAATAAGTCATGAATCCCACATCAGTTGTGTATTAGAGTTGATCTTGAGATATAAGGATTCACACCCCTTCAACTTGTAAGATATTTTTTGTGAGATAAAATTGTGAGACCAACGGATCAAAACGAATAATATCTCATAAAATCGTGAGATCAACGGATCAAAATGAATAATACCCTCACAGGTTAATGTAGATCCTGACGTTATGAAAGTATGGGAACGAACCTCATTGCCAGACAAATGGAGAACTGCGGACCAAGGATACGACAGGAGGATGGTTGGCAAGAATAATAGAAGATGCTCTGATTATGAGAGCTTGGAATTTGGGTTGGCGGTTTGCTGGTCAATTTGGCACAGCAGGAACGTGGAAGTCAAGTCAGCAACAAAATGTCAACCAGTAGAGACAGTAAAGTTTGCAAAAGACTACTTACAGGAATATAAGCAAGCAAATGAACAAACGGTGGGATACGATTTGGTGAAAGGTGTCTGTTGGCAACCACTTCCCTATGGACATGTTAAAATTAATTTTGATGGGAGCCTCAAATCCCAGAGAGCTAGAGGAGGTATTGGTGTTGTGATAAGAGATCATGCAGGCTACTGTCTTGGTGCTGTTGCAGCGCAGTTAGAGGATATATGAGACCCAAAAGTGATAGAAACTCTGGCGGCCCTCAAAGCTGTCAAGATAGCGAAAGAAATGGGATACGCTCAAGTCATCATTGAAGGGGACTCTCTGCAGGTGATTAAAAGTATCAATGCAAGGACGGACCTGTCAATTGTAGGGAACTTGATAGCAGATGTGCAGTTGATCAAGGACAGTATGGAAATGGTGAGAGTAGTCCACGTGAGGAGGACAGCAAATGAAGCTGCTCATTCATTAGCTAGATTTGCTTAAAGTCTGAAAAACACCATGTGTTGGTTAGGGAATGTCCAACTCCTATTCATGATGTAATCACAGCTGAATGCTCTGGTTTATGTTGAAATGAATTCTACTCTATTTTCAAAATAATATAACTGAAATTTATAATAAACAAATTATGTGATTTTAACATTTCATTTTCCTGCCGATAAAGCCTTTGCTTAGTGACAAAGAAAAGACCCTGAAACCTTTTGTTCAAGTCTCACTATGTATAAATTTGATTGTTTAGGTATATTTTAATTTTTTGAGTTTGTTGATTGATCATTCAGTGATACATTATATATGAATGTAATAATTGATTATGATTGTAAATTTCCTTCTATTTATAATTTTAAAAAAAAATAGTTTTCCTCATTTCAACACCATAGACATAAGTGAGAAAGAGAAGTATCAAATGCAGATCTAGTCCATTTAAAATGAAAGGACAAGATGCCAGCAAGTCAGTGCAAATTAAGAAATGGAGAAAATTGTATAAATCACTACACCAAAAGATGTACACAACATGACACAAAAGCAATTAATGCAACAGAATATATTTAGCAAGGCGGAGACAATGATTACTGGTTTTGAGTAGATAAAACTCTGAAAACTTAGCCGCGTCAATCGAGGTTAAAATTTTGGTGATGTCACCCTAATAACCGTTTCTTGCCTTGGTGCCTAAGCTCCCTGCTTTGACAAAAAATTGTTGAAAACGTGGAAAGTTTCTTCTCTTTTTCTATGAATTATTCCCACATGTTTTCGCTATGGATATAGACCAAAATAGACTCTGGTGACACATGCAAGTAAAACACCCTGCATACTTGGACTGAACTTCTCTTTCAGAAGGGAGGATCAGTTTCCAGCACATTATGGCCATAGGAATCCATACTGGGGCATATTTTTATAACTATCCTGTTTCTTACTTATCCTACTTCGATTTGTATTCATGACCTAACCTATTTCGCTATAGCTACAGGATTCTGCATCCAGAACCATAGTTTCGAAAGGCAATGGATAGTATCTTGGAGGACTATAAGTGTCTAATGTTTATAACTACTAGCTACAATATCAGGTAACATAACTTTCTCCAAATACTTAACCATATCAACATATCTTTATGGCCTCATCAGTTCAGTCAACATGATTATCCTTTTCACTCATCAATAGAATACTCTAGCATGTTTCCCGTGTGTTTAAAGCTGTATTCCTGCCTCCGATAACCTTGCTGTGAAAGGATCCACCATCATAAGATGCTGCGCCAGTTCAATTGACATAGCTGATTCTTCCTATAATCAAGCACATTCTGTTTAGTTTTGTTCTTTTTCTTTTTTATTTTTTTCTCAAAAATTATGATAAAATCACTTTCCCTCTTTCTTTATATGTGGGTATTTCTCCCACTATTTTTCTGTTGAGGACAAAGGATTTCTTCCAACTCCAGCCCCTTATCCTATATCAACAACTAGTTTCAATTTTCTAGTGGTTTTATCAATTTTCACCCAAATATCAATTGAACAGTAGGTTATATAAATAAAAATTGAAAGTCCAATTAGCCGGATACAAAAATAAGAAATAACTACTGTGAATTAAACCACCATAAACTATTTTCTTGATTTGGCGCCAGGTATATTTTATTTCAAGAAACTACAAAGTACTTCAACCTCCAAGTACCATGTAAAACAAGTGGCCTTGATGATCATTTCAGAAACTGGAAATCATTCTCCTGCATCAACTAGAAAATGAATCTCTATTTCATGATCTGTTTTGCATAGAATAAGCTATGTTGGTAAGAAGATATTAGAAATCGTAAAAGCTTTATTAGAGCTAGTAAACTACACAGACAACGACAATAAAGGGTAATGCACAAAAGATGATTCCAATTTTACCTTACTTTGCTCGATTCTCAAGAATTTCCTGATCCTCACGGCTTTGTTCTGGATTCCATCTTGTGATTGTCCGCTCTTCAACAGTGTAGTGCTCTAAACATGATGGAGAGATAGCACACTGGCTATTATTATTTACGATAACAATCAATAATGTTTTTGCAACACTTCCACAAAGTCGAACTGTACAATGAACATCTGACCACCCTCTCAATCTACCATTTTGATCATTATTTCCTTCTGATACTGCCAGCACTGCATACTCAGAATGGACAAGAGCTGGATGGTGACGGTAGGCAACAAAGTCCACACCATACTGCAATCCTGATCTCACAATCCAATTTTTATGCCGAAGATGAGAATAAGCCTTGAAAGAAACAGGAAACACCACCTTTTTGGATTTCCAGTGCCCCCATAGCTCTTCGTTACTCTTTATACAACCATCTTCACCAACGACCTTGAGGCATTTCAGTGAAAAGCACAAATAAAAGGCTTCCTCCATATCCAACTGAAACCATTGTTTATCCTTCTCAGCGGTAATTCTAGGTCTTCCAAAGCATGCACGGTTGAGAAGATCAGCCAGTTCTGCATCTACTTCAACCAGTACACTGCAGCTTGAGAGTAAACCACGAGTCTCAGATTGGATCAAAAAGGATTGGAGCTGTGAGACTATCATTGACATGGGATCAGCCATAGCTTTGGCTTCTGAGCCTTTTCCTTTCCATCTAGGCTTCATTAATCCTTCAGTATATCAAAAACTAAAATAATTAGGGTTCATGCTCATTGAAACTTTTTTCTTTATGATTATTGATAAATGTGGAAAATCACTGAGCTTTGAGCTAAAAAAAAAGGAGTAATTCTCCCCCTTCCTATAAACCCAACTCTTCCTTTTCCATAATTCCAATATGAGACCTCTAAATTAGAAACATAAGTTCTAACTGCCGAGGTATCACAGTAAAGACTCATGCACTCTTAAGTCTTAACCTAATTGCAAGAAACAAAGGATTTTACAAATTAAACAGCTGCAATAACTCAAAAAGAAATTCATTACTGGTAATGAAATTTTACAAGTGACAAAAAGTTTAAAACCCATTGATGGAAGATTTAACCAGCCATATACAATCTGGGTCTTTTTTTTCTTATTCTTCGCCTACTTGCTGAATTAATAATATAATAAAACATTTTTTTTTTAATTTTCACGCATAACTGTGCTTCTAAATTGCCATAACAAAGATAGATGATAGAGCGAGAGAAGACAAATAAAAAGAAGACAACTTTAAGTTTGTTCTTACTTGAAAGAGAATGACGGTTGCTTCAAACAATAGAAAGAGATGATAAGCTTCTGCTTTTGCTCGTTGAGAAATAACGTCGAACACTTGCCGAACTAAGAAGATGGAATCTCGCAAACAGTTCAAGTAGCCTTTAGTCTAAACTCTAAAGAAAAAGATAAAAAAAATTTTTGGGTTAGGAAAGAGAAAACGAAAACTACTAAAATGCTTTGCATTTTACTTGCCTTTAATTATGACTAAGGTTTGGTATGATAAAACTTAGAAAAGGATTAAAAAGATTAAGAATGAAAATTTTGTTAATTTAATAATTAAAATTAAAATTATTTTTTATTTTATAATTCAATTATTAAATTAATAAAATTTTAATCTTTAACAGTTTTCATCTTCTTTTTCAAGCAAAGTCTAACGGAGCAGAGGCAAGGAAAAAACTCCAGCTTCATGCAAACAGCTTATACGGTGCCGTTCTTGTTGAGTTGATGGAGTCTTGGAATTTACTTTCCCTTTATTATGATTGATAGGGAAAATAAAGAAAAAAAGAGATAATTAGGGGTAAAATTATAATTAAAATGATTAATTTAAGTGGAATTTTTTTTTTCACATTTGAAAAGATCAAAGTAGAAATTAAAGAAAATACGTAAATCCACTATTTTTTTTATTTGCTTTCTACCGAGCAAATGAAAAGAAAAAAAAAGATTTCTTTTACTTTTCATCCTCTAAAATATAATGTGAGGGGGCATTTGTATACAAGGAATCTATTTTTTTTTTTAATGTTACTGTCAGATATTTAAATTTTTATATTTGATTTGAGGATATCAGATTCTTGAAGATAATTTTATATTCTCAATAATATCAAAAATTTTGGAATAAAAAACCCATTACTCTCATAATCTTTTAAAATTTTAAGAGGAAGTGACTTTTGTCTTATATTTGATCTTAATTAAAAAAATATTTTCTTTAAATTTTACTCTCATGAAAATTAATGTCTAAAAATTAAGTAATTGTGAATTGTTTTTGTTTTAAAAATTTTTTAATTTAAAATTTTTTTATATATTTTTTCGCTCAAATATTGTATTTGTAAGTTTTGAAATGCAATAATCATGATTATTTATTACATTTTATTCAAAGAAATATAGTATTTAACTTGATGGCTTTTGGTTTAATGAGAATTTATTATAGGTATAGCAATTATTGATTTCTTTAACATAAATGCAATATTTGGCATTTTAATTTTTTTTGCATGATTAGATGACTTTTGATTTAATGAACATTTATTATAATTATGGCAATTATTGCATTTCTTTGAATATAAATATAGTATTTGACATTTTTTTTTATTTATTTGACTTGATGGCTTTTGATTTAATGAGTATTTATTATTAGTCTATCAATTATTATGTTTATTCGAAGCTAAACGCAATGTTTTTTTTGGATAAAATTAACATATTAATAACTAATTATTTTTTTTAATTGGTCACTCGAATACTATATTTCATGTGTTCTTGGATGATATTAACTCATTAATTAACGTATTATTATATTTACTATGTAGCAAAAGATATTATAGTAAAAATACATAATTAAGTAATCTCATATTTTCGCAAACTAAACATATTAATCTAAAAACGAGATATCATGAAAAACCACACTTCTTTTGGAATCTAAATTTCTGAAAACCAAACACCCCCTTAATATATATATATATATATAAAGATTAATTTACATAGTATAAAATAACTAAAAGTTTTGCATATTTTTTTAATAATTGATTTTAATAAATCTAATGGATGGGATTAAACTATTTTTGTATTTTTATTTTTTTTTCATCTATTGAATCTATTAAAATTAATAGTTAATAAAATACGTAAAACTGTTTTAGTTTTACATTAGGTAAATTGATCATTTCTCCATTTCAACATATATAGTGTAAAACTTTTTTAATTTTACATATATTTTTTAACTATTGATTTTAATAGATTAAAGAGATGACGTTAAATGTTTATATATATATATATATATTTATATGCTAATATCATTTGATAAATAAATGATATAAAATATTAAAAAAATCCCTATACTATTTCACCTTTTTAAAATAATTTTTTATATTTTTATTACACTCCAATAAATCATTTTTTTTACTTGTGTTTAAATAACATAAAATTGATTTATATTAAATGTTTATTTGAATATAAATTAAAGTTTAAGAGTTTATTTGGATGTAAAATAAAAGTTAAAAATTTATTTGAATGCAATAAAAATATATAGACTTATCTAAATAAAATGATAAAATTTTAAAAAAATTTTATTATTTTAACCTAAATAAATCCTACAATATTACCAAGAAAAGAATTTACTTGCTTTTTAATATAGAGATGCTAGTACATATCAAATAGTCATAACTAATATAGCTAGGGATGACAGCTTTACCCATACCCAATGAGTTTCAATTTGATCCAACCTTTTAAAGTAAATTTTTTTTTTAAATCGGATTTCAGATCAAGTAATAGTAAAAAAAATTCAAAGTTGAGTTAAGATCGAATTTTAGATAAACACATTTTAATCAAACCCAATATATAAAATTATTTTTTAATTATTTATTTAATTATATATTTATATTAAAAAATAATATTTTATATTTTAAAAAATAATATTTTATTAATTTTAGATTAAATCAGATATGAATTTATACAATATCGAATTAAGTATAAAAAAAAAATCAAATCCAATCAAATTCGAATATTATGAGTATAAAAATGAATCGGATTCGAGTTGAGCAAAACCCGCCTCCCCACAACCCAATGTCATCTCTAAATATAACATATTAAGAGGACCACAAGATCCATAGTTGATCATCTATTTTACGCACATAATTACATATACATGCATACTACCATACGTACATACAAACATACATACATACATATATATATATGTATATTATAAACACATGTATATATGTATGTAAGAAACTGTGCATGCCGTGTTAATGACCATTCTGTATGTTTCATTAAAGAGGCTTGTGAGTGCTGGTACGCAGTCAAGATAACATTGCTTCTCAACTAATGTACGATCAAACTTGAGTAAGGAAGAGATTTTGGACAGTTTCTGATAAATAATATTCGCATTAATACAACTTTATGCTAAACAAAAACATGAATGAAAAAATATTTAAATTATAAGGTCACTACGGTGTAAGAATCCAAGTGTTGGGTTCTGGCTCTTTGATCCTGTTACTCTGCTGTTGTAATGCATATCCAAATAGAACTTGGTTCATGCCTATACTACCAACAAAGAAACATCATTCTACTTCAAAATCATGTATGGACCACTTGCTGTACGTATCTTTCGCCGTTGTGGGAAAACGTTTGATCGCAATCCTCTGTGTCTGTCAGCAAAGTTGGCTTGCTAATTTTCTGTTAATGCAAAGGAAACCAGTCAATCCAATGAAGTCAATGAATGAAAGTGGAAATGATATCATATGCAGAGAATGATGATATGAAATTGTTAAAAATTGAAAACAAAGTGAGAGATAATGGGATGTGGTCTTTCAGTTTCCAAATCAAGCAGACATCAATACAAGCCAGGCCAGATTCAAATTCAACTCAACACAACAACAATTGCTAGAGTAGCAGATAACTAGGTTTTTTAAGATTAAATTATAAACTAATGCAGATGTAGGGGCCAACCAAATATACACAAATTTATATGCAGAATTTAGGAAAGCTTCTCTGAATTGATACATAGAAGCACTATTCAAATATATTTCCCACATGAAAGGTCTTTAAAAGTCAAAAGAAATGACACACCAAAAACATTGGAGGAGGCCATCCTTTCTTAGATTATATTTGTGAGGTCTCTTAAGAATTTATTTGCTCCTTCACATATCACCCCCTTTTGTTTCTCATGAATCCGAAAAGCTCAATCTCAATATTAAGGACTTGAGCATCACTAAAATTTTAAAAGATACAACTTCATCTCTGCTTTGTATCATATTCATTTGTACAATCTGAAGGATAGAAAAGTGCCTTTAATGACCACTACAAAAAGAGTGGAAAAACTTCATGCTGTAGTGTTCAAATTTGCCCCAGCAAATAATGTTACCCATGAGTTCAGAAAAACTTAAGACACATACAGACATGCCATAAGCAAGCTGCTGCTAATAATAATAATTCTGCGCAGCTTGTTACGTTAAATTCATTTTGACATCTTCGCGGAACAAACACTTGAATTTTGACACATACTGTTCATTCGACATTTTAACAAACATATAAGGTAAGACTGTAACGGAAATGGAGCTTTAAAGTTAATCTTAACCTGTTTTTCACTTTTTCTACATGCACATGCATGTGTTACGGGCTGACACTAAACCTCCAGGCCCACGAGGCTCCAAGACCCGGGCATGCACTCATCCGATATCCCAAATCAACCTACCTGTCACGATTCACACTTTGTGTGATATTGTCCATTTTGACCCTTCTAGCCTCACAGTTTTATCTCACAAAAGACGCCTCATAAGGAGGGGAATGTGTGAATCCTTATATCCCATGACCAACTCTAGTATACAGCCGATGTGGGATTTATGACTCCTCCTTAGGTCCGTGACACATGCACATGTTTGACGAATGCTATAGCATAGTTTTTTTATTATTTATGAAATTTCTATCAATAAGCACCGTAAAGTAGAGGAGTCTTACCTCATTTAATAAGCAATCACCTTGTTGTTCAAGTTCACGCATTTGTTGCATTGTCATCCCAAACCATTCATCAATCCAACCAAAACAATTCCGGTGACTTTCCAAGAAGAGAGCCCTTTCACCCTATATAAGAGATAAATGATGTAAAGTTGGTACCAGCTTTGCATATTAACAAGTGTGTTAGCGTGTCTGTGTTTTAGGGTGGGTTGGGGAGGTGGGGGAGAGAAGTATATGGATGCATATGCTCATTTATAAGGAAGTCACTTCTAGGTTAATATTGAAAATATCTTTCAAATTAAGGCCTCATTCATGTTACATTAACGGGCCCAAATGAGTATTTGAGCAGCAAATCCAATGCTCAACAGGTTTGTGCTATCGATGTGAAGGTGCATATGAACCCAACGTGTTTCAAATGCACAGCCCAACGAAGAAGGAACCAGGCAGCTGCTTTTGTGATTGACAACAGTGTTAGAACCATGAAATATCAAAAAGAATCCCTCATGCAAGTTCATCAACAGTGACTTTTACATGTCCTTTTCACTGAGAGGAATACCCAGTGTCGACCCTCTTTGTTTTCATCTTAAAACTTAGTAGAGTGGTGGTAAGTTATGGTGCTTTTCCAGGCATTGAATTTTCAAATATTCCAAGGCAAGATGTTCATTCAATGTCCACTCCTGCAAATGATGCATGCTTAATGCAATGCCAGAGATTGGATGAAAGTTTTAGTCCCTTGCCTTTTGTTTCCAACAGTTGAGTTCCCTTCAATGATTTTGCAGTAAAATCATAAACTAGACTCACATGATTATATGCCAAATAAATGCACTCTCAAAATTATGATTACATTGAAATGCACCAGTTTTGTCAGAGTGTTTATGGTATCTACAAGGCACCTGACTTTAACCGAATGGTCTGTACTTTAAAGTTAACATCTAAAGATTGAGTCTAAGAAATTTTACCGCTAGCAAAGCTTGTTCAAGTCGATAACCAAAACCCCAGTATGGTGCATCTACTGTCACCAACTTATATGCTGTCATTACTGGATTGCAATTGTCCTGCAAATATTAATATCACATGTAATCATTGACAAATTAAATTTGGTTGAAGATTTAATAGATATGACAAGAAAGATCCAGTCACTTAGATCCATTATTGTATAATGAGGCTGAACATCTTGTCTATACACAACCATATGAAAGACCTCATGAATACTATTATTAGTTACAAGTAAGGTTAGTGACTGGGTCTTTAGCAGGAGGAAGAGAAAGGAGAAAGTGAGGGGAGGGGGGGGGGGCAAACATAAGTTCTCTAAAGTAATGATTGGAATTCGCACAAAAGCTATGATATGTCGAGTTGAAGAGAATGACATGGCTATAAGCTTACAGCAAGAAGCACTACTAATTGATAGAACTGGAAGTGGAGAGGTGCCTTGAGTAGATTCATCTATGTATGTATGTATTAGATGATTAACTCATAGCAGATAAGATACCAACCTGCCATCCATCCAAAAGTGGACCACGGCCAGATTTTTCTGATTTGAATTTGGAAAAGTCAAAACTGCTACTTCCAATAGCATAACTCCAGTAATCTGTTGCAGCTGAAGCGATATCAATGATTTCTACCTGTCTAGCTGCCAGTTGTTCTTCATTTAAACCATGCACCTGCTTGTAAACCTCACAGTTAAGAAATGCAAAAACACAAAAAAGAAAAGAAGTGACAAGAAAGAATAACAGGATACAAAGCAACTTCCCCTGAAATGACCATTTTCAAAACATTCAAGTTACTAATACAAAAATTATATTCTGACTGGAGAGGATCCTAATTAAAAAACTGAAGAAACTTACAAAAGAGCTAATTAAAACGACTTTCAAAGAAACTTACATTTTCCGATGTTCCATTGTCTGCCCTATGGACAGTCTCAATTGTGAGACAGAACTTGGTAAAGTAAGGGCACTGCAAGAATTTAATATCTATGAGCATACAATCCAGGAAATCAAAAACATTAGTCAGAAACGTCCTGAAATTATGTCTGAGGAAAACAAAATAGTTACCTTGATCACTGAGAAATATGAGATCCAATTTGTAGACAACAGAAGAAAGATAACTGTTAATACAACTTATACAATGAATTCAAGCAAAGAGAGAAAAAAAACAAATGAGCGAAAGGACATTGCAAACCTGTTTTACATCTTGGGTATGCATTCCATGCTTCCTCCTCCATGACGAGAGCATCTTTTGGTGCAATAGTTGTAAGCCAAACAGGTGCTTTGCTGCATAAATTAGTGCAAAAATAAGAAATCAAATAGAAAACAACAAATCCAGTATTTTCATCTCAATGAATAGTAAACAGATAAAGCAAAGGCCATAACTTGCATACATACATACACACATAGTAATTTAGATAAATTTACCGATGTCATGTAGCAATGTAGAGAAACATTAGAGGATTAAGAAATCTATATTTTCATTGCTAATGGTAAAGAATTACTTTAATTAACAATACAAATATATCATCTTGAAATACAAAGGTAAAAATTCAGCGTCCCTAAGCAGTCTAGCAGAACAAGTAAAGAATTACCTCTGGAAACGGTAAACTTTCGAAGTGTATTGACCTTTTCCAAATATATCATCTTGAAAAGGTTTATTATCCAAGACTTCAACACCTTCAGATCCATTAGTACTCTGCTGCTGCATCTTCATTACCATGTACATTTGAGCTATCTGATACTGCAAATCAAACATAGAAAACTTTGATCAGCAAACAAAGAAAGAAACCCCCAGAATTCAATATCTTATTTTTGAAGATTTTGAAACTCTTTTAGCTAAAGTTTACCTCTTCTAAAGACATAGGCATGACAATTCGACTTCAAGTTATTCCCACAGAAAAAAAATCATCAGTTAAGGAAAAAAAAAACCAAACCTTCATAAAAGAAAGTTACCCAAAAAAATAAAAAGAAAAACCCAGGTTAGGAAAAAGGATACAATTCCTTGAGTTGAACCATTTCTCTTGAATAATCAATAAAACTCCTTGGAAGTTGCAGGCAAATTCAGAGATAAAAGAAACTACTATGTTTTTCTTTTTCTGGGAAAACAAAGAGACGGGAAGGAAGATAATTAGAATGATATAAGGGATGCGTCAGAGTTTGGGTTAAAAAGGAAAATTCAATTGTGATGGCGCCGAGAATAAATGCAAAGAATAGCCAGCGAATTATAGCGTGGACCACATACCATTTGGCCGAATAAAGCTTTAGAGTTGCCCATTCTTTTTTTATCAACTGAAAAACTTTCCAGTTGGGATTTTAGTATTAACTTTTCTTTTGGGTTTTTAGGAACGACGTCGGAGTATTCGAGGAAAGAGGATAGTTTTACGTAGCTGCCGACCGCTGACTTTTTTTTTTTTTTTTAAGTATTTTGTGTTTGGTCGTCATTGATTTGGTAAGCAAGCGAGTAAAAACAGAATCTTTTCTTCTGTCTCAAGAGAAGTGGGTCATGAACGGTTTCACCCCACTTTAATAATAATAATAATAATAATAATAATGATTCTTAAGAGAAGAGTATGTAATAATATTCGTATTGTGTAGATGCCAAAACACCCATTTTCTTTGTATATTTGCGATCTAAACCATAAGATGACCTCAAATAAAGAGAAGATTTTTGAATTTCATACAACCATAGGAGAGAAACTTTTGAGAGCATTGCCTCCATATTCAACCCATTGAAATTTCCCCATGACAAATCACAGGTATACTACTATCAATACCATCATGGCCAAAGTTTGAAACTTTGTTTGGTCAAAGCTTAAAAAAAAAACCCATGCCAAATTATCTTGATTATTACTTCGTCTCATTAATTTCCAACATCTATGTCCTAATTACCTAATTAGCTATTGGATTGAAATAACTTGTTTGTCATTAATTTATTTGATTAGAAAAATAACTAAGACGATAAGGTTTTTGTTGTTGAGAAGTGAATTTAGATTTGGAGTTGTAACAGGGAACTATATTGGATAGCTTCTCTTCATGATGGACAAATGTTAATATCTGATAGGCCAAGGAGAGATTCGCTTTCACAAACACATTGGAAAACCTTTTTTTTTAATTATTTTTTAAAAAATCAATTCATTGATTTTTGTCTAATCATGCTTTGTTGTCTAAATATCAAAACTCATATATCAAAAATTTCGAAACCCTATCAGCTACCCATTGAAAACTAAAACAAATCAAACTTACATAATAAAATAAAAAGGTTTTGTTTTATAATTTGATTTTATATTAAAGTAGGAAATATCATGGTATCTTATTACATATTATGATAAATTGTGAAAATAATATAATTTAAAAAAATGTTAACAAGTAAACATTAAAAAAAGTATACATCATTTTATTTTATTTATTAATTTAATAAATAAAATAATATATTTTTTAATTTTATAATATCAATTTATTTTACAAAATCAATTTAATTAATTATATTTAATAATATATATTTATACTTTTTTATCATTATATTTAAAATTATTAAATATTTTTCAAGAATAAAACATTTTAAATTCATTTTACATATGATGTTATGAATTTTATAATTATTTTCATCTTTGTAGTTAACAAATTTTTATTTATAATCTTTTAATTCAAAAATATCAATTTTTTTATATTGTCAAGTTAATTATTTACTTTAATTTTTTGATATGTTTGTTCTTAATTTTTGTTTTATTTAAAATTATCATAATTATTTTTTAAGATAGTACAACGTCAAATGATATCAATTTTACTATTTATTTATTTTTTTATGTTTTACGTTAACACTTATTTTTTTGTTTAAAATTATTTTTTATTTGTAATAATAATTTTTTGAGTTACCAATTTAATTATTTACATTATAATAATATATTTTTACATTTGTTCTTATATTTTATTACATTTATAATAATCATAACTTTTTTCTTAAGGAGTTACAACACTTTTAATACACTTTATGTCAAATGATACAAATTTTATAATTATTCTCACATTTTACGTAAATACTTATTTTTTGATTAAATTATATTTTATTTATAATAATAACTTTTTATGTTGTTAACTTAATTGTTGACGTTAAAGTAATATTTTTTATGCTTGTTATTATATTTTATTATATTTAGAATTATTACAACTCTTTCTTAGAGTGTTATAATAATTCTAACCTATTTTACACCAAATAATATTATTTCTAAAAATCTTACATTTTTACATTACGATACTTTTAAAACGTTTTACATTAAATTATACCAATTTTACGATTATTTTTACATTTTTGCATTAATACTTATTTTTAGGTTTAGAATTATTTTTATTTATAATAATAATATTTTATGTTGTTAATTTAATTATTTATGTTACAATAAAATCTGTTACACTTGTTATTATATTTTATTATATTTAGAATTATCATAATTTTTTTAAGTACTACAACATTTCAAACATATTTTGCGTCAAATTATACTAATTTTACGGTTATTTTTATCTTTTTACTTTAACACTTATTTTTTAATTTAGAATTAATTTTATTTGTAATACTAATTTTTTTATGTTATAAATTTATTAGTTTCAATAATATCTTTTTACGTTTGTTGTTACTTTTCATTATATTTAAAATTATTATAATTTTTTTGTTAACATATATCGATACTTCTAACCATTTTACATAAAATAATTTCAATTTTATGATTATTCTCATCGTTTTATGTTAACTCTTTTTTTTTGTTTAAAATTATTTTTTATTTGTAATAATAATTTTTTACATTACTAAATTAATTATTTACGTTATAATAAATTTTTTATGCTTGTTGTTACCTTTCATTATGTTTAAAATTATTATAACTTTTTCTTAAAGGTGTTATGATACTTCTAATTATTTTACGCAAAATAATATTAATTTTATTATTATTTTCACATTTTTTATATTAATACTTATTTTTCTTATTTAGAATTATTATTTATTTGTAATAATAATTCTTTTATGTTGCCAAAAATATTATTTATGTTAGAATAATTTTTTTTATACTTGTTTTTATTTTTTATTATGTTTAAAATTATCATAACTTTTTGTTAAGGTGTTATGACGCTTTTAATCTAATTTACGCTAAACGATACTAATTTTATAATTATTTTATCCTTTTACATTATGACATTGTAACATATTTTATACAAAATAATTCCAAATTTTCAATTATTCTCATATTTTAATGTTAACCTGTATTTTTTTGTTTAGAATTATTTTTATTTATAATAATAATAATATTTTATATTGTAAACTTATATTTATGTTACTATAAAATCTTTTATATTTGTTTTTACTTTTTATTATATTTATAATTATCACAAGTTTTTCTTAAGGTATGACAATACTTTTAATATATTTGACATCAAATGATATAAATTTTACGATTATTCTTACATTTTTATGTTAATACTTATTTTTTGATTGAATTATTTTTTATTTATAATACTAATTTTTTTACGTTATCAATTTATTACATTTCAATAATATCTTTTTACATTTATTGCTACTTTTTATTATATTTAAAATTATTATAGTTTTTTTTTCTTAAGATGTAATGATACTTTTAACTATTTTATATTAAATAAAATCAATTTTATAATTATTCTCATCGTTTTACGTTAACTCTTAATTTTTTATTTAAAATTATTTTTTATTTGTAATAATAGTTCTTTTATATTGCCAACTTAATTATATTTATGTTATAATAATATTTTTTTACACTTGTTGTTATCTTTAATTATGTTTAGAAGTATTACAACTTTTTTTTAAAAGATGTTCTACATTTTTAATTATTTTAAATCAAATAATACAAATTTTATGATTACTATCACCTTTTTCTTTTATACTAACACTTACTTTTTGGTTTAGAATTATTAATTATTTGTAATAATAATTATTTTACATTGCTAAAAATATATAATAATATTTTTTATACTTTTTATTATGTTTAAATTTATCACAACTCTTTATTAGGGTATTATGATAATTTTAATCCAATTTATGCCAAGTGACACTATAGACTCCGATTTTTTTTTTGTCTCTCTTTTTTATATAATAACAATAATAATTTTAATAATAATAATAATAATAAAATATATTAAAAAATATTATTAATAATATAATAAATAAAAAAAAAGAGATAGAAAACAGAAGGTTGGTACGACACCACTGCCGCCTTTTTCCAGCCCCCTTTCCAGCCACCAAACCAGACAGCCACCCTATAGTTACCCTACCACTCTTACAACCACCATCTGTCCCCCTCTTTGAAGCTCCTTAAAAACCGTTCGGCTTCTTCATTTTAGGACCTCTCTTGGATAGATTCAAAAACACTCGAAACCTCAACTCATCTATTCCAAAAAAAAAAAAAAAAATCTCTAGGCTTCTACAATCAGAAGAATGTAAGCACCCTAAACATTTCCCTAATCCCCATACCAAACAAAAAAAAAAAAGACAAACAGTCCTCTCTGTAGGGAGGAACCCAATCCCAAAGCTACCTATAAAATAAAAAAAAAATCACATCAATCTTGTTTCATAAAAAAAATGAGGAAATAGAAACTTTGAGCCTTGATTTACGCTGATCGGGGCTATTTTCGATAAAAAGAAGGCCAGATCCATGAAGAGCGCGTTGAAGTGCACTTCTGGGAGTATTTTTGGTATTTTTCGACAACTGGTGACCACAGACAACCACCGTCAATGGTGACCCAGGCGACGGTGGTTGCGACGGTCTGACAACCAGACGGCCAAAGCTCTGGAGCTCTCCCTAGAGCTCTAACCCTTTTTTTTTTTGGAACAGAGAAAAAATGAACCAAAATTTTTTTTCGTTATGTATAGAAAATTAAACAAACCAAAACGACGCCATTTTAGTAAAAGAAGATCCGCGCATAGATCCGGACCCGACTCGGGGTCCGTGCAACCGATCCGCCAACTCGACTTTTCAGCAGCTCTAAATCAGTTTGACCAGATCGGCCGAACCACTCCTCAGCTAGCTTAACTGAATCGCATGTTGAATGAAACCCTTTTCGGTCCAACCGAACCGCTGTTGATCGGTTCGGTTCAAGTAAAAAAATTTTTTTTAATTTTTTTATATTATTATTTTTGTTATTTTGAGTTTTTTTAATATATTTATGCATGATAAATTTTAAAAATTTTAGAGTAATTTTTTAATTGTTTTAATAATAATAAAAATGAAAACAAGTAAGAAAATAATTAAAAATGCTTTAAAAAAATAATAAAATTTTATTATTTTTTGTGCGGAAGGAATAAAACATATTTTTAAAAATAATTTTACCTAGATATTGAGAAATTATTATTAATAAATTTTCATAAAAAAATATAAAAAATTTTTAATTAGTTTTAAAAAATTACTAAAATCGAACTTGCTTCGAAAATCCACCTAGATGTTGAAAATTTTTAGAAATGTTCACTTTTTCTTAACAAAACGAAACTTTAAATGCTAATTCTTAAATTTCAAAACTCTAAAACTTCATAACCTTTAAATCCAAACCCCAAAACCCAAAATCCTTAAAATTCAAACCCTTAAATCAAAACTCCAAACCTCAAATTTTAAAATTAAAACCTTAAAATCTCCAAACTTTAAAATCAAAATCCTAAACTTTCCATATCCTAAACTTCAAGCCTTAAGACCCTCTAAACCCCTAAAAAATCAAACCCTAAAACCCTTAAAACTCAAGCCAAAACCTTAAAACTCGAATCTTCAAAATCTTGAAACCCTAACCTTTAAAACCTCTACTCAAGCCCTTACTTAAAACATTATGAAAATCTTAAAGACACGTGTGAAACTCTCATTTGAAATAATTTGTTCCCGAATGTCGCCTAGATGATGGGATATTTAGAAAACTTTATTTCGTTAAGTTTTTTCACATGAATTCTTAATTCGCATTAATAATCAAATTAATAAATAAAAAGTATAATAGTAAATTGAGATCTTAAATATAAACAGTGGGGGTGGTCTCATTATACTTAACAACCCAATTTTTAAATTACATTTTATTTTACATGACATTCATTAGCATACATACATTAGCGTGTTATCATTGATAATTGTCTGCATTATTCTCTCTTTAATTTTTATTTACTATTTGATGATAAAATATTTTATAATAAAAAAGAATAATACATTTTTTTAAAAAATTTGTGATATTATAAAATAAAATAAAAATAACATTCTGAAGGAAATAATTCTTGGTATTCTACCTAGATGTTGGAGAGTCATTAACAATTATCTTCTATAAAGATTGTTATTTCATTTTAAGGATTGTTGTGTTAAATCTTAAGCGAAAAGAGTTATTTTAAATTCTGCCTAGATGTTGGAGAATTTTAAGATAATTCTTTAACTTAAAGATTTTCTCAATACAAATTTTAGCAAAAATATTTTTTTTAAAACGAAGGGAATTAATATTAAATTTCAAGTCAAAACCATTTTATCCAATACCGAAAATAGCACATGATTAAATGGTACCAATTTATGGGCGTTATGAGGGTGCTAATCATTCCCCACATGTAACCAACTCTCGAACCTAACCTGATTTCATAAACCAAAAATTTTTTTTTTTGATAAACTTTAAACTCGTTTTTACAGTTTTATTAAAAAGATGAACTTTTGGGTGGCCAATCACACCCTAACAAAGATTGGTGGTGACTCTCTTTTTATTTTTCTTGATTTTAAAATACTTTACATTCGACGGTCTCAAAATCATTACGACAGACATAAATTTTACAACTATTTATACTTGTTACGTTACGATATTTCTAATACACTTTTATGTGAAATGATTTCAATTTTATAATTATTCACACTTTTTTACGTTAACATTTTTTTTTTGTTTAGAATTATTTTTATTTAATAATTTTTTATATTTTTAACTTAATTATTTACATTATAATAATATTTTTTTGCTTGTTGTTACTTTTCATTATGTTTAATATTATTATAACTTTTTTTAAAGGTGTTACGATATTTCTAATCATTTTACATTAAAAAAAATTAGTTTTATGATTATTTTTATTTTTTTATGTTAACACTTATTTTTTTGTGTAAGATTATTTTTTGTTTAGAATGCTAGTTTTTTTACATTACCAATTTAATTATTTATGTTTTAATAATATTTTTTTTACACTTGTTGTTACTTTTTATTATATTTAAAATTATTATAATATTTTATTAAGGTGTAACGATACTTATAATCATTTACGTTAAATAATACTAATTTTACGATTATTCTCACTTTTTTACATTGAATTTTATTTTTTGGTTTAAAATTATTTTTTTATTTGTAATAATATTTATTTTTTCGTTATCAACTTAATTCTTTTTGTTACAATAATATCTTTTTATACGTGTTGTTTCTTTTCATTATGTCTATAACTATCACAACTCTTTGTTAGGGTGTTATGATAATTTTTACTCATTTTATATTAAATAGCATCAATCTTATGATTATTCTCAATTTTTTACGTTAACATTTATTTATTGGTTTAGAATTATTCTTTAGGTTTCAGGTAATAATTTTTTTACATTGTAAACTTAATTATTTATGTTACAATAATATATTTTTACCCTTATTCTTACCTTAATTACGTTTAAAATTATTACAATTCTCTATCAATGTATAACGATACTTTTAACACATTTTATGTTAAATAATACTAATTTCACGATAATTCTTACCTTTTTACGTTAACCAATTTTCAATTAATTTTTTTAAAATATTATATTATCTTGTCCTATTTTTTTTAAGAATTTTAAATAGATTGTAGTTATCTGTTAAAATTTTTTTAAATTTTATTTAATAAATAATATTTAATATAATTAATTAAAATTAGATTAACATGTTAACAGGGAATTAATTATTTTTACAATTAAAAAAATTATGGTTTATATTAATTTTTTATATCTAATTATAATTATTCAATGACCTTATAATAAGGTCAAAAAATTTAAACTTACTGTAAAAATTTTCAAATAAAAATTTCAAGAACAAATTTAGCAATCCATTAAACAATTGAATTTGATGAAAATAAAGATGATAACACAATTGATAAACTCACTATCACTTCTTAATTATAATTCAATTGAGCAACTCATATAGAGATTTTTAAAAAATAAATTTGTGAATGTTTATAATTTGTATTTTGTAATATTTAATTTTATTATAAAATTTTACAATTATAATCTTTGTTTTGATATTGAACAAATTGTTATTTAATTTAATTATATACTATATTTTTGTAAATTTTAAGATTCAAATGGGTTTGGATCATATGATAAAGAAAAGGATCCATCAACAAATTCAATATTTAAAATATGTATCTAAATTGAATATAAAATCACACAAAATTCAGTATTTAGCAAAATAACATTACTTTTAGCATGCTCAAAAATAAAAAGCCTGCTATATGAGAAACTCAAAAAATAACATGTAAGACAAAAAAAATGACGAGCCCAAGTTTAATATAAACCATAAAAACTCAATATTTAATAAATATGGATAACGTTACTCTCGTGACCTCTACGGATGTCGGCGGTCTTGACTTCAAAACCGCCCTCCCTGGCCATGCTTACCCCTAGCCATGCATGCTCGAAGAGCTGGCTTGCCCGAACCAAAATAGGAAACAGAGAAAGGATTCCTGACTTGGGTTGGAGGCCAATGAGATTGGGGAGTTTTCTTTGCTTGATTTACTCTTGGGAGCACTGGAGGTGGGTTTGTGGAGCAGTAGAATTAAGGAGTGTAGGCCATTAGAAAGGTGGGGATAGGGATAGCAAGGGTTTTTGTTTGGCTTCCAAAGCTACTGGTGTTTTCGCACGGGCAAAAATGGCTGCTGAGTTGTCGGTTGGATATTCCGTGGTTCATGTTCTGAATGATATCTACTCTGTGGTAACTAAGGTAAAAACTTCTTTAGTTCTTTATGTTCCTTTGATTGTTTGTTTGGTTATTTTGTTCGCCTTTTCGATCTTCAGTTCACATCCTTTAGAGCAATTGCTTTCCAACTATATATGATAATGTATTGAGTCTGAACATTGTTCTCTGTGGTTACTCCATTCTATGTTCGTAAACATACATTTGCAACATTGTTCTGTGACCATTTATTCGGTGGTTCAGTTTCCCTTTTCATTTCTAGAAGTTCTGATCGTGCTTAAGAATAATGTGCTTGTTGTTGTCGTTCGTCCTCGTCATCGTCGTATTCCTACGCATTGTGTAACATGTGCTAATAATTTATACAGGCCTTCTGCATATGCAAGCATATAAGAGTATGCAGTTAAAACCAGGAGGGAAAGAGAGAAAGAGGGAGAAAAATTAGGAAACTAAACTTTACTCGAGTTTTAATTTTTTTATATTAGTATATAATATAGATATCTGAAGAACAGTCTGATCACTGTGAATTCATGGTGTGAGTTCAAATCCCAGGGTTTTTATTTGAGAAATTCCCTTGTTCTCAGCCAATGTTGACAAATCAAATGAAATCCATTGGTGTACACGAAAAAAGAAATCAATGACTTTAAGCTAAAATTTTCATGAATCTTTTCAGAAAAAGTTAGTTGCATATGGCTACTCTTGATGAGTTGTGCACAGGTTAAGGAGCTTAGGAGTATGAGATCTTGGAGGTGGGTTTTATTTTGGGTGGAAGACTTCAATCGATTGGTGAAAGAATTGAGTTTAGCTACTGTTACTACCAATAAAAATTTTCTCTTTCATGTTTATGTTACCTTCTTCCTCTTTCTGCTTCTTTCATGAGGGGGAATAATTTCATCATTTGAAGCTGGATTAGTTTGTCATAATTATAAATATCTTTTAGATTATTCACTTTCTAGTGCTGACTGCTAACTAATTGGGTTAACTCTCTAAAGCTGATATTCATGAGCATTATTGAGTTATTAGTTCCTTATATATATGAAAAATCTTGTTATGTATGTCCTTGACTGCATGTTTATATGAGGTTAATCAAAGGATCATTAGTCATATGTGCTGAAATAGATGATAGAAGGATGGACATTTAGAAAATTTCATCAACATATTATGTATGCTTTCAATTATTTTTAATTAGATTGAGTAGCAGATGATTTGAATCACCAGATACAATTGTCCTGCAGTCCTGCCTTCATGTCAAATTTGTTTTTTTTGTGCCAAATCTGTAATCGGACAACTAAATATGCCATCCAGAATTTTAGAATCTTGTCTGATTGATCCTTTGCTATTCTTCAATATTGAAGTGTGCATTGTGCATATTTTAATGCCTAAGAGATAACCTTCTGATTTGTAGCTTGATGTTAATTTGAGATATAGGTTAGGAATGTAAATGGCATTGTCAAGAAGCATCATCTTCATTTTAGCTTAAATTTCCTGTTGCCTCCAATCTCTTTTTTAGCCTTCTTCCTTTCTCAGAATGCCAGTATGATAATGAATTTAAATCATGAAATCTGAATCTATGGAGTATGATAAAAATGATTTTCTTTATTTTGAACCCGTTACGGTTGAAAGTGTTCGTAATGTTATTGATTTGGAACTACTCCGTGGCATCTTTATCTAGTTGGAGCTCAAACACTCATGAAGCTGGCTCCTCCTATCCTGCATTATTTGTTTGTTGGACAAGCCTTTATGTTTTGCACATGTAGTCATCTAGGGCACATTTCTGGGTTTAGTAGCTGCAGCAGAAGTTCAATGCCATCCTTAAGGAGTTAAGGATTGAGCAACCAAAAATAGTATGTAGAAAAGAATAAATAAGATGCTCTTGCCATTGCAATGGGCATAAGCTACTCCGATATATTGATTAAAAGCTTGTAGTAGAATGCTACTGAGGTTTACCCAAAACAACCTCAACTGATTAGCAAGTATTCCTCTAATGCTATTCAATTGATGGAGATGCTTCTGATTCACGTGGTAATGTGGTTTTATTTATTTCATTCTTTCTTTCTTTTGGGGAGGGGCAGGGGTAGGGTGATGTAATACATTAAGCAGGCTGAAGTCCATTTTGGTGATCTCATGTATGTCGCTCTTTCTTGCTTAAAGCAAATCATTCTGTTTCTCATGCTGTACCTTTTGTGTCCATTGCTGTTGGGTGGATTGGTGAAATACGCTGCTGCACTTGTTATGGCTGGTCAGCCGCTGATCCACTCATCTAAGTTTCAGAAAGGAGGCCATGACACAACATGTCAGTCAGGAAAGCTGCCTTTCCTTTTGGAGCACTGCCAAGGCTGCAATGTGTTTCTGGGTCCTGAAATGAACTGCTGAGGCCATGGTATCAATTTTTGGGTTTGCTATGGTGCTTGCCAATGCTCAAATTGCTGCTAGGCAGAAGCCATACCACTGCCCAAGAATGCATTTCTTGGCTAAATGCTTTGACAAATCCCTATCTTCGAATTATTGCAAAGGCTTTCTAATGGATAGGATTCCTGATTTTTCTGACATCTGGGATTGCTGGCTTTCTCAAGCTAAAAGGCTTTCCAGTGGAATGGACATTGAAGATTCATCAACAATGGCCACTTTCCTTTGACTTGGTTGGTAGTGGGCAGATCAAGTTGATGATAATGGCAAGCTCTGATCATGCACTTCATCAGATTGATTGCCAACAATTAAAGAGAATGGCTCTTACTCACAAGGTTCCTTTGATGAAAAAGGTGAACAATGTAGCTTTGGCCAGTGCAGAGGTAAGTAGCAGCTTGAAGTCATACACGATTGACATGTTTGCTCTTCAGGAATTCTTAATGAGGAGCTCAATGCAGCGGGGGAACAAAAGCTTGTTATGTGCCACTTCCTCTCCATGGATTGCTAGGTATTTCTGGTAAGCAATTTATATTTTCCACCCCCTTTTGATGTTTCTTGAACGTGTTTTCATTAGCCCTGCCAAAGAATTTGTTACTGAAAATTTCGTTTCTCACCTTCTTGCTCTTTAATCATTTCTTCTCTAGTGTGAGCTGACATGACAAATTTTGGAATGTAATCTAGGTAATGTTAAGCACTAAGAAATGTAACAAACAATCAAATTACTATGAAACATAATGTGTTGTGATTATCAGGTGGTTGTACAATTTGCAGTATGTTTTCAGTAACCGCCCGATTGCTCTCTTTAAGATAACTGTCTCTGAGGCCTTGCTGAGAAAATAGGCTCTGATTTTACGTTTAATTGATCTGTTTCTTTTGTTCCCCACGTCTAGCCATTTATTTTTTGAAGTTTTATAGGCTTTCTGTAACAAACAGATAGGATATGTTAGAAATGCCCGTAGCAACAAACTACTTTTATAAAGCATGAATGTTTTCAAAGACCTTGTACATCTACTGAGAGTTTTATAAAGGAGTCACTCTTTCGCTCTAAATGAAGAATGTTCATGCTTTATCAAGAGTGCTTTATTGCTTCTTTTTCAAAATAAAGATGTATCACAATTTAGATTTAGGCTAACAGAAAATATTTATCTGCAATTTTATGGAGAATAAAAGAGTCCATACTTCAGGCCAAAAAGGGTGAAGTATAGTTGCATCCATGGTTTTTGTTTGAAAATAATTCATCATTCTAAGCTATTATTTTCTAGTTTCATTTCCCCTTTTAGGAGCTCTTTAAATGCGCAATTATCTTGGTTAATTTCATTTCCATGGCAATTTATTATCAATCAGCAACCCTTGCATTAACATAGTGAATTGCATGCAGGATTGGTATTTAGTATTCACCATTTACAGTGAATAATTCTATATTCTTTCCCCTAAGTCTGCTTGTTGTGATTCAATGCTATGGCTATTGAAGTAGTTGCAGAATTAAAATGTAATCCTGGGTGAAAAGTTCGAACTTTCCATGACAACCTAAACAAATAGCTAAATGAAGACTCCCCCCCACCCCAGTTGATTCTCTTGCTTATAGATGCATCGCTGTCTTATTTTTATAGAAAGCAGTCAAGTCGAACCTAACTCATTTAGCAAAATCAAGACTTTCTAGAGACTAGGACGTGACAATTATTGACCTTAGGCTGTTGAATAGTCTTATAACTGTGTAAAGTTCACCATAAACGTCAATGATCATCATATATTCACAAATTGGAAAAGGACCATGTTCTTCTTGACTACATGCCTCCAGCAACCTGAGCAAAGGATCTAGAAATTGTTGAATTTTATAGGAAATTTATGGAGTTTTATCTCTGTTGTGCTTGTTATCAACCCTGAGTTCACATTGGGAATACAATGATGTCATCATCATTATAAGAATGCAAAGTCTTTTCCCCTTAATTTGGTTTAAAGACCATGGAATTTAATTTGTAGCTTGATCAATTAACTTTTCTAGGACTGGAAATTCCTTGAATAACAATCCTTGGATTTCAACCTGTACTTTAGCTCAATTGGTTCATATAACCATCTTTAGAGATGACATTCAGCAGGTTTGAAATTCAAATTCTAGCACTTACAACCCCTTTCTTTATTCGTAGTTTCCTTTGTAAAAAAAAAAAAGCCTTGGACTTCAGGTCAAATGGATAAAAATGTTGAGTGGAATTAGTCTATGTCAGTTGGTAAAAATTTTCAGCTAATTATAAGTAGAAAAATGTTTTATGGAAACAAGATTCAGCAGGGATAACAGAGTAAATCAATAAAAATCATATTAAGTTGTGTATAATTATTATCCTATGATAGAGGGAAGGAACAAGCAATCTACTTTTAGAGTAATTGGAAGTCATTTTCGGAATTTGAAGGCAGTTAAGGTCATAAGTAGGTTGGTTTTTGTCTTCTACCATGGGACATAATCTATGACCTTCCATTTTAAAAAAATTGGTCATAAAAGGATAAGATTGCAAAAGTCTAAGCTCTATAATTTTATATAATGCCCGTCACTAGGGGGTTAGACTTCTCAACTATTTGAGCATACAAAGACACCTACCTAATCTAAAGGATGTGTGAACAACGCACCGAACTGCTTTACTGTTTACTCTTGTGTTCCTACACTCCAAATTCCCTCAACTTGTTCCCCCATTCAATGTTCTCATCTACTCAATCAGAGTGTTTACATATCTATGCTTCATATGAACGTTCTTTTTACGGTTGATACAGCTGCGTGAACTGTTAATAGAGTATTTTTCCAGCAGGCCTCTTTAGAGCAGTGTGGCTCTTGACTCTTCATTGATTTGCAGACTAAAGGCATGAAAGAGATTCAAAGTATTGTGTTCTTTTTCTGACATTTTTAAAGTTTAATTAGTGGGAGAACTATTCGTACTTCTAGACCACCATTTTGTTGTAGCCTGCTGAACACGGGTTCAAAGTATTTCATTATTATTTTTACTATGAATAATCAATAATCTATGTATCAGTCTTCCACTGACACCGTGTCCGCTGAAATTGCAGTCCCCGAGCCATTGAAATTGAAAAAGGAGCAAAGAATTTTGAGGACATGGAGGTTGCATTTAGCTGTAGTCAAGTGTTTTCAGTGATTGCTAGCGGTCTGAGTGGGAAAACTGGCTGCAACCAAGGACCCTGCTGCCCTAAAACCGTGTGGGCCTTTATCTTTTTAATAAGCTGAATGAACAGCCAAATGCAAAATTCTATACATCTCGTAACCTTTGACAATACTTTCAGTCATGTGCAATGTTATGTCTGACTCATTATACAGATACGTGTATTCGTCATGTTTGTTATGATTTTTTATATAAATTTTGAGAATCATATGCAAAGTGAAAGGGCCGAAACGTGTCAGACATTTAGAATCGAACCATTCGTCTAAGATACAAGTCATGTGAAAAGTCTTATATTAGGTATTATATTCTTTTTTTCAGCATTTTAGTTCAGCTTCCACTAGTTTTTGTTGGTCATGCACGAGATGAATGCACCATTTATTCGGTGCACAAAGCTTAGGTTTATCATCAATGTGGAAAGGAAATGAAAGCTGCGCGCAGCTGGTCAAGTCTAAAAGAACAATGTCGTGTCTTGATCTTGGTCTTAGTTGCATTAATAATTACCCGAGAATGGGGGCACCCCTTCTGAGCCACACGCATTGCCTTACCCTAACCGTTTGATCACGCCTGGCTCGTACACTTTTTGCAATTATTAAGAGCGGAAGGGGCTGCCTTCTTCTAATCATGCATGAACTGGCTTATGGTCTAAACAAAGTACCAATGCCGTATAGCTCAAGTGCACTTAGTTACAAGGTATTAGATTTATCCCCATACGACCATTCCACATTCGATTACGATGTCGTTTTGGTTAAACCCTTCAAATGATATCTCTCTTATCATGTCAAACTTTTACATGTACCAAAAAAGACAATTTGCAGCCGTAAGTTTTGTACGGATCAAAAGATCCCGCAAAGGGAACAAAAAAATATATGGGACACAGCTAGGGTTTAAACTTCAAAACTCAATAACTTATGATATTTTTTACAGATATGAGATTATGTCATTTGTCAACGATTGTATGATTTACTGATAGAATATTAGATTTGTAATTATTAAAATTAAAAATCAATTTTTAATAATTTTAAATATAAAAAAAAAATTATGTCATCTAGATGCCTCATTCAATATGGTCAATATCTACATTTGAACACAAGACCTTGTAATATATACGTCTTTATATCGCCTTCTCCTGCTTTGGTAAAACAGAAAACTAAAGTTTAACATTAAGGCAACACAATCTCAATGCCAACCAAGTAGGTAGACAAGAGACCCACAAAAGAAATATGGTTTAAGTGCATTTAATTTTGTTTGTTTATCAAAACATCTTTGTCGCTTTTCGGCAGGATGGATTTAATTTTAGAAGAAACTGTTTGTGTTTACACTTTACTTTGCCTTCTCTCATCAATTTGAACACTACTTACATAAAAATGGCTAAAATTTAATTTGTTCTTAAAGAGTAAACCCAAAAGGAAAGCTGGCTTGAGTTTTTTTTTTTGTTGTTGCTTTTCTTTTAGCCTAAGGTCCACACGCAAAAGACTCATTTGAGACACCAGTGGGAGTAGTGGAGCTGGAATTAATTGCCAAGAATATTGGCAAATGCTAACCACTTCTCCACTGCAAAGTTGAAAGCTTAATTTAAAATTTTTTCCTTTTGCTTTTCTTCTTTCAGGTTGAAATTTTTGGTCACTTAGGATTATTATTTAAATTATAAAGTAATCAGTGATTTCGTTTTTTTCAAAATGATTAAACATATAATTTAACTACTAAGATTAGAGATGTCATTGTCCTTAATGGCAGCTTAATACTTGTTATTGAAAGTTCTTTAACTCATATGTATATAAACCTGTACTAGATTAGACCTGATGAAATCAAACTTGGCTAACCTTCTAAAATTTTTGTTTAAGATTCAGTTTGATCAAGTTCATTAACTCTTTAAGACTTGATTTTTTTAAATATATTAAAATATCAAAAAAATTATTTTTATGTTTTAATATTTTTAATATATTTTAGAATTAAAATTAAATAAAAATCATTTTTATTTATATTTGACTACATTGGGTCGAGCTACCTATTTAACCCTTATATACGGCTATGTGCACATCAAACCAACTAATTTTTACTAATTTTTTTCTTCTTTTTTCTTTAATTGCCTTAATTTTATCTTGCTCACATATACGTTTAAGCATATATATATATATATATAAATATATATGGATAAAATATGAAAAATTTATTCAGGTGATAGAAGTTGTTAGGAATATAATCTTTATTATAAACAAATATCATACAATTATTGATAAAATATGAATTTTTGGAAATGTGAGATATATTTAGTTTGCCCGGCCCATAGATATGAATTGGATTTATGTGAAAATTTTGTAAGAATTAAGTTCTTATTCGTGGGGGAAAAAAAAAAAGGAAGGAAAAAAAATATAGTGTCATTCTCATTCTCATTAAGTGGGCAGGTGATTAAGTAGTTGATAAGGGGTTAAAAGGATAGCCTTGTCGTGGAGGTGGCAGCAGCAAGCCCAATAACTCGCCATGGGAACCACCGCTCTCAACAGATTTTCAATTACTCTCAACGTGGCCTTTTGGCTAAGGCTGTGCCATTAAGAAGTAGTTATCAGTGGACCACTTAGAGTTTTGGGTTTATCTTAACGATAAGATTTTGAAGTATATTTTTTTGAAAAGAATACTAATGAAAATGATTAAAAAAAAGTGAATTCATTAGTATAGGTTTGACATTTGTAGTTTTGTTTTTGTTTTTATGTTTGAAATTATAAAAAATTAAACATTAATTATTAAAATTAAAAATTCAGTAAACTTTCAACAATATTTGTAATTTTTAATTCTACCTAAAAACGTTGTAGTCTAATAGTATGTTTGAATTCTTTCTCATTCTCATAAATGTCAAGTAAAAAAAATTAAAAAAAACAGTAAAATAAAAGTAATTAAGATAATGACTTAATTATTCATTTTTGTTTATGAATAATTTACAGCATATGGTGATTAATTACAAAATAAGACTTTTCCATCACATGGTTTGAAATTAATGAATGATTTGAGTCCAAGAAAGTTGGAGAGAGAGAGAGAAAGAGTTAGAAGAAACATTTACTTTCTAGAAAACCATTTTAGTACTCCTCTAAAAGTTAGGCAGTTGGTATAGAATTCTACAAAGAAAATTACAAAACTTTCATTGAGATAATAATTGGGAAGGGCTAGAAGAGAAAGGAGGATATATAGGAAAGAATACGTTTTAGAAATTAAGTTCCCTTTAAAAGAAAAATTAATGTGAAAGGAATGATGCTACTTATTAATAATGATATAAGCTAGTGAAATTATCTCCTTTTTTTTTTTTTTCTCATTTTAGGTCTATAGTTGGTATATTTGTTCTTTAATTAGTGTATATAGAATGGATTAACTTACACTAATGTAAAATTTTTTAATAATTAATTTCAATAAATTCAAAATATGAAATTAAACTATTTTTTTTCTTTAATTATATATATATATATCAAATTATTGATTCTTAAAATTTATTCTAATATATATTAAAATAATATTAAAATATATTTATTAATTACATAATGTTCAAACTTCAAACCCAATGACCACTCGGATAGTGAGTTATCTTCGGATTTCTGAGTTTTTTTTTTTTTTTTTGGTTATATATAAAGAGTCCATGATAATTAAATTAAATCAACTAGTTTTAATTAATTATTGATGGGTTCTTTGGTCAAATTAAATCAACTAATTTTAATAAATAATAGAACCTCCATTGAAACGGATCCAAACATGGAAAACATTGCGGATAAAATCGATATCCCGACAGATGAACAAGTCTTCTAGTAACTATTTAAGTTTTTAGATCTTACTATATATAATCCAAAGATGATAAATTCGTTATACACTACAAAAGCCAAGTTGTGGGAAAAATAACATTTATTTTTTTAGATATTTTATGTTATTAATTACATTCATATCGATAGTCTTAGTCCATTGGCCACGTTTAGTGGCTACAAAAGTTTTCCTCAAGTATATCAAAGGGGGATTTTTCTTGGCAAGAAAAAAGAAAAAAATTTATTTACTAGTGAAATGGATAAGGGTAGTTAGTAGATTTGAAAATTCGTATTACTGTATTATATAAAATATTATATTTATATCATATTTTATATGAAAATGTAAAATTATAAATCTAACAGAAATAAAGAATTTTTTATTTTTATTTGGCACGGAGAAAACACAGCAAAGCAGCCAGCCAGCCAGCAATATTCAAAAAAGATTTTGAACAATGATGTCATGTTTCGTACAACATGACCTCACTGTTTAGTTTCATTTCTACTATAAATAATAACCTTTCTATGCAAAAAAAACCCCGCCACAACATCATCATCCCCTAACTCCTCTTTTAATTCCGATTCTTTCCTAAGAGCCTAAAACCCATGTTTAAGATGGAATATAGTGAAGCAACTCCTGCTACTATATCTTCTCCTCAATCCCTTTCTCCTAATAACTCTTCAAATTCGTCGTCTTCTCCTCCTCCTCCTCCTACTAGTAATACTCCAACTCCACCGGCTGTTATTAGCCCTTGTGCTGCTTGCAAGATTTTGAGGAGAAGGTGTGCTGATAAATGTGTGTTGGCACCTTATTTCCCTCCTACTGAACCAGCCAAATTTACCATTGCTCATCGCGTGTTTGGTGCTAGCAACATAATCAAGTTCTTGCAGGTAGTTTATTTCGTTTGGGGTTAATCTTGATGTCCCCTCACTATTCCTTTGTTATGTCTACACTACTAGTTAAGAGATTTCTCAGAGAGAGAGAGCGAGAAATGGCTACTTTTTCACTAGTGTGAAATGGTAAAAGGGTGCCTTTGGGTTGATCCGTTGACAAATGTGGCAAAAAGATATATACTAATGAAAAAAGTCATTTAGTGCCTAGTGGTTATCATTTTTGGGGTGCATTTTCAAGAACATTGTTAAATTAATATTCCTTGAGAGAGTTGGAGGGCTTTTCTCTTTTAATAACCTGCCTCATCTACATCTACAATTTTGTTTGGTTTCAAAACTTAGAATATCATTGGTTTAACTTTATTATTGTTTGTTCTCCAAGTCAGAATTAAGTTCAATAGTAAGGGGATATCTTCACCCACCAAAACAATTTTCAAGAGTCTTTCTTGGAGGGACTTGTGTCGTAGGCTGCAGGCTAAGCTAAAAGAATAAGATAATTAAGTCTAAAAACAATACACAGCTCTCACATTTTTCTAACTTTAAGTCTGTGTTTTACTTCGAACAGCAATTTGAAAAGCAAGTTACATGAGGTTTGTTTACACAGGTAGAGAAAGTGCATGTGGAAACGACCCTACTTTCTGCATAAAATGTTGACACTTCCAAACATCCCCTCTCTGACTATGTCAAGAATATATACTTGACTTCTCCAATACATTACGTTTTCCATATGGAAATGAGGAAATTTATTGTTCCCAAATCTAATTTCCTGTAACTTGAGTGGAATTAGGTTCTCTTGACTAGTAATAGTATTTCACTTTTTCTAGATAGTCATTATTAGACTGTATTAAGGCCTATTCAGTTGTTTACTTTTGGGCATAGTTAACAGATTGATTTGATTTAGTTGTTATGGTGTAGTTGTAGACTCCTATTTTAGTCAATGTCAGAGATGCTAAATGAGTGGTTCTTCCGGTTTTTTTCAGGAACTTCCAGAGTCACAAAGGGCTGATGCGGTAAGCAGCATGGTTTACGAGGCAAGTGCAAGAATCCGTGATCCGGTTTATGGCTGTGCAGGGGCAATTTGCCAGCTGCAAAAGCAAGTTAATGAGCTTCAAGCACAATTAGCCAAAGCTCAAGCCGAAGTAGTCAACATGCAGTTGCAGCAAGCAAACCTTGTAGCCTTACTTTGCATGGAGGTGGCACAGTCTCCTCAACCAAACTCCCAGCAATCAGTCGACACTTTCATCAGCAGCCCGCAAAGCCACCAGAGCAACCCAAGCTTCATGGAAGACAACAACTTAGGGTCATTATGGGAGCCTCTGTGGACATGATTAATGCTTAAGCATAGCTGCTTAATTTGAGAAATTAAGGTCCCATATATGAAACTCCCCTAACTCTAAGCCAATGGCTCCAAAGAAGGAGATCAGTCGAAGGACGTTAATAAATTTAACTTAGTAGTAGGTTATAATGTGAAGATATATGGGGGAAAATGTAAGTTTAAGATCTAATCACTTTGTTAAAGCTAATACGAAGTAGATAGGTCTTTTTCCTCCATGTAATTTGGCATGTAATTTGGAGAGAAAGAAAAATATGTACTCCAATTTTTCTAAAGTTTTTATTTCTGTGCTTGTTATTGGAATTTTAACAACTTTTAGGTCACCTAATATGATTACTTAAATTTGATGTCTCATTTAATTCCTTGTCAAACTAGCTTTTGACCATCTCTTTCCTTTGGTTAATTTTCACTATACCATTTAAGATTATTTTTTTTGCTAATTTTAACATCACTTAATTGTTATTAATAATTTTTAATATTTTTATACTTAAAGTTATCCGGAATTGAATATTCTTTGTGAAACCAGCTTTAGGACACGTATTCACTTTTACTTTTATTCGCTTAGATTGATCAAATTCATGATAATATAAGCTTCTAAAATCATTAGTGCATTTTTCTAAATGATATGGCCATTAAATTGCCAAGACTAATTATTTTCTAATACAATGTGCAAATTGATTACAACATTTAATAGAGAACAATAGCCACCTTCCGTTATCATGTGTTTTTTTTCAATATTATTTTTCTAAGTTTGACTAAGTTGGATGACTATTTTACCTTTTGGAAGGATCAAGAATTCAAGATTTAAGAGTCCATCTATCTTCAGCACCACAATTTTTCTTTACTTATATTCTGCGTTACCCACTCCTCTTCCTCCTTCCCTTTACTGGATGTGCATGTCATAACTCATAAACTATATATATTGATCAATACAAGTCCTTTTTCTGTAAATGGAAAATGATATAACGACAGGAGACCAAAGAATGGAATTGTCATGATCCATATGTCCTCATTAGATCTCTCCACGAACCCAGTGTTGAACATAATTTTCTAAGTTTAATTCAGTCAAATATGTCATTTTATTAATAAAAAAATATTTTAAAATATGTTTAAAATATTAAAATTTTAATATATTCTATTTTTAATATGAACATTAGGTTCACAAAAGTCAAAATTTTTTACAATTATAAATGAATATTATAGAATATTAACATAGATACCAATCTTTATAGTATGATAAAGGATAGTGTGGTAATTACTACTAGGCTAGGCTATAGATGCTTTAGTTCAAGAGTAGAGTAAAAATTAAGTCCGAAAGTTTTGGCATCTTCCCCAAATAATAAGTTGTTTCTTCAAATATAAACATGGCTGCAAGACTGGCAGCTAGTACATATATAACTTCAAAACCGTACCGTATAAAGTCATTATTAATTGAGATTAATTCCGCGTTTTAATCATGATTAGATGTCTCCAATTAATCTCTTTCAAACTTTTTAACTTTCATGGAGAAAATGGATATTGGAACCTTTGAAAGAGAGATTAGTACTCTACTCTTGTTTGGAACATCCATTCTCCGGTGCAAAAGAAGGAAATAAACAGCACACGTGCCGATGTTTGATCTTTGATTAACTTTTGTTTCAAAATTAATGATGTTTGCTTTTGGGTTTTTGTCTGTGCTCCCCCTTACCTTAAACGCGGTTTTGGAAGGATAATTGATTAGATCACGGTGCTTCCCACGTGAATTGATATTGAGCAAAGGCTACAACACATTTGTCATTTGTCGGTAACAAGGTTTTGGGAGAGAAGAGGGCAAAAATTCTTCATCCTTTACCCAACATGCCATTATTTTCCATGCTTGGAACGGGAAACATATTGTGTTCCTTTTGACTAAAAAGTGTGTGTGTAGCTCCCTTCTTTTTGTTTTGTCAAGATGGAGTTTCAAAAATGTCAAAGTTAATCCAATGAAACCAACAGTTTCCATATGTACTACAAATGTTATGACAACATGCAACTCTTCAAAATGACTAGTCATTTTGTCATTGTATGCTGATTGAATTGCAACTAACCTAAGAAGATTACAAATGAAAAAAAAAAAAAAAACAATTGCATGTTGAATCTCTTATATTTATAAGATCATTAGATCTTGTTAGACAATTTTGACAAACAAGTTCTAGTCAAAATTATTTGATTCGATCAAATTCATCATGCGTACTAAAATTGTGTATAGCTTCTACAAAAATTAAAACGAAAACCATTTGTACAAGCCAATTTGAAAATTATTTTAATGTCCATATAAATATGTTTCCAAAACAATATCATATGCAGTTTGTAATAATCACGTGATATAATTATGAGATTAATTATAGGATCAGTACTCCTATACTAAAGGGGCACTTGACCACTGCATCAAAACCAGTGGTCCAAAGTCATAGATGAAATCTTCTTGTTGTTGTTGGTAATGAGTCATTAGTTTAGTTCAATGGGATAATGCCACATGAATTACCGTGACATTTGATGGAGTCATAGTTTTCTCAATTCTTGGTGAACCGCCCAGCAAGATCAGCAGCATGTTGCCACTTAGCCTTGCTATATACGACGAAAAATTGGGTAGTTATGGGCGTGTGAGCCCTGCTTACTGGCTATTCCAGGAATTTAAAAGTGCATACCAAAAAGGACATTTCAATTTCATCGGCAGTAAAGTTTTTAAGGCTATTTTCTAACTGGGCTCCAATCTTTAGGTTGAACGAAACCTTTATGTTGGATTAACTTTTGAAAAGCAACTACTTTTATTGGTCTAATTTTCATTAGTTTGGGCGATTACTCTTTAATATTTGATTCAAAACCCCTAATTGATTGAAAACTTAGGTTTTAATTTAGAATTTTCGAATCTTACAAATTATGACTGTCTCTTTAATATGAAAATAAAGTAAGCATAAAGTTTGGATACAATTTAATTTGGTGGCGATTAACTAAAAGTTTTGTTTGGTTGATGCTTTTGTTTTTTTTTTTTTAATTAATTTTTGTTTTCAGTTCATTTTTTATTTAGTTTTTTTTTCACTTTCTATTTAAAAATAAAAAATTACAACTTTAACTCCAAAACCTTCATTTTAATAATTGAATTAATAGACCGACTCTTTGTCCTATTGTTTTCCTTTCACATTGAAATAAAATATAACACGCAGAATATCCTCTTTAGTATTAAAACCTTCCAATTAAAAAAAGTTGTCAATATACAAACTTTCTGCCTTTCTTAAATGATTAATTAACGACAATTTAGAGTAAAAGACTATACATGTTGTCGTCACGATTCGATGCCTGCCCAAATGATTCAGATCATGTGCTTTGTTAATTTGTTCATTCTCTTCTCTGAAATGATAGTCGTGGAGCTCCCTTACCCATTCCATTCGATCCATCACATTCATAAAAATGACAGCCACGTGCCAAAGTTTGGTAGGATCCATTTATTTCATCTTTTATCTTAAAGCAAAATTTATCACGATTTATCTTGCATCTCTACTAATTACAAAATCTTTATTTGAATTTAGCATTACGGGTTAAATGATATCAACTCAATTAATAAATTAATAAAAAAATCATCATCTAATAATAAAAAAAAATTAATACGAGTATGTTAATCTTTTTCTTTTCTTGAAAATATGATTTAAGAATCAATTCGTTTTAAACTAAAAGGGTCTATTTTTATTTTTTATTTTAAAAATGTTTTATATGCTCATATTACGATAAAGAACCATTTCTTAGTGGATGTAGATAGATTTACATAATTGATTGTAGTGGCATTGGGTTAAGCATAGTTTACGGCTACGTGTCAACTAATCTAACTGATTCAAAAAGATAAAATAAGATACAGGACAAAAGCCAGGTTTGACTTAGGAAAAGAATATATACAAGACGATAAAATAAGACGTTGTTTTCGAAAGCACATCGTCGGAACGAGAGATTATTTATTAGATAACCATACATAAACTCAATTAATTAATTGATGTATCATTAAAATTCATCATATTAAATTCAATTAATTAATATAATTTTTTTTAGAAATAATAGTTAACAAATTTAAAATTTAAATTTCAATACATATAAATTTTTTTTTTTATTTTCAAGTTACAACGTTTTTTATACCAAAAAAATTTGTCATATCAACATATATTGATCTATCTTTTAATGTAATAAAATTGTTTTTAATAATCTGTGAACCAATGTATATCTACAATTTAATAATTTTTTATAAATAGATCCTAATATGATAATAAAGGAAAGGAGGTCATATATTGAAAATTTAAAATTTAAAATTATTAAATATCATTTTATAAAAATGATTACATAAATTAATTTAACAAAATTTTGGATTCATAATATAATAAATTTTGATATCATACTGTTACTTCATCGGTTGAGGGTTGGGTTTATAATTGAAAAAGAATGATTTATTTTAAATATTTTATTGATAAGTATTTTAATAAATATCTTTTAAGATTGTCATTTTTAGAATTTTTTTAATGTATTAAATTTATTATATTAATTAATATAAAAATAAATAATGTGTTAACAAACATTAAAGAGAATCCTAGAAAATCCTAGTACATTTACAGCAAAACTTTTTATTTAATATATTTTTGAGTAAATTATATAAAATTACCTTATAGTTTTAAAATCCAAAAGTTTTCAAGAAATTTAAATCAAAATCCACTAAAAACACCCTTGCTGATAAGTTGTTACGATTGTTACGTAGATCTATAGTTGTTTTGTGGGTTTACTAGAGTGGATAATTTATGGTGGATTTGAGCTTTATAAATTTTTATAGTGGCTATTAGGTTTGTTTTCAGTTTCTTCAAATTTATTTGCTCTGTTGATGGTTGTCATTGGAAATTAGTGTGGTTGTCGAATGAAAATTTCGCTAACCCAAACTCAAATCCTGCACATAATGAATAAATCATACACAATATTTTATAAATTTAAATCCAAAAATAAAAAATATGAATAACTTAATTCTCAGAATCTAAGTAACCAAGGAAAAAAAAATAATTTTTGATAAATTAAAATAATACATAAACAATTTAACACATCTTAACCTAAATTCTTCACGTAATAAAAAAACTCATGCATGATACTTAATAAATCCAAACTCAAAAATTAAACTCAAATTTAAATTAGCAAAAAATCAAAAAGTAAAAATTTAACAAACCTATAATCGAAATATCCAATCATATAGATAACACATAAAAAATAAAAAAAAGGTTTCTTTTTCGGATGCTTTGAATCGGTAGTTAGAAAGTTAATAGAGAGAATTAAATATATAAAAAAAAAGTTGTTGGAGAAGAAGAAAGGAAAAAATTAA